GACCTAATAAAGGGAACCCATTTATAAAAATTATTAGTGATAATTGACATAATGATTTTTAAACAAAACATACAAACGACACGTTATAATTCTCTATATTGTATATCTTCCTATCACTCGTTCTTATTTATAATTTTATTTTAATGAAGATAATCAAGACGATGGATATATAGATTGATAATCAATGATAATATTGGTCTCTGTGGAGGATGACTTCTTTCTTATGCGTACATTGCAGATTTTTAAAAATCGCTCAGATAGAATTATTTTATTTAGACAATCAGAAAATACAATAATCTTCTATGTATATAAAAATAAGTCGGGTTTTCCTTCCTGACGAAATAACTCCAGAACGCACGAACCGATTTCGACAATTTTGCATTCGTTGAAAAGGTCTCGGGCTCCGCAAGGTTTATAGCTAAGAAAATTAGTTGTGCATGGCATCGTGCCTTAATGCAAGCTGCTGGAACTTTACGCACCGTAATTAAAAATTCGAGTAATGACATTAGTGAGAATTACCAGAATTATGTTTGGTTCAGTCAACGAGCAATTCTTGCCGCAAAGAATAATGATGTACACGCACTGAATTTCACCATTCAATAAAAAATTGCTGGCGATTTGGTGACATACCAATGATTCCGACTGGTCTTCCGTTTGACTTCAAACGATTGCAATTTCCAGTTCGCAATAACAAGTCAAAAAGCCAATCGCTTAGTGTTTGCGGGATAAATTTCAAATAGATTATTTAGAAAATCATTGTTTTTCGCATGGGCAGTTATACGGCAGTTAACGTCAGACCAAAAAACAAAAAATGTGGTTTACCAAAGAGCACTTCAATGAAACGGATAATTTGCGGATTCACTTTCATTTACTTAGAGAAGTTCAACTAAAAAACACTTGATTTTTCTAATCGAAATAAATTCATTACTGTTGTATAATAGAATCAAATTTTTCCTTTTCAAATATAAAACAAACAAAAAAATTCGTCATCTTTCTCACGAAACCATCTGGTGGCGAAACGGAGTTCGTCGGGTTTGTTAGTAAATTATAAGTATTAGTGATGTGTTTCATGATGTGTGATGTGATGTGAAATGCCGATTATTTCTATAAATAAAATTCTATGCCGCAAAATTTTGGTCTATGATGATCTTATAAGTCTAATTTATAGAATAGAACAGTTTTAGCTCGTTCACTTTCCTACTTTTTTTACAAATCATCTTTAAAATCAAACGTTCCTTAACATCCCATAATATGGTACATTTACCTTAATATAAAGTTTTATATCAATGTTATGTTAGATTGCATACTAAACTTATTACTAATTTTAATATGAGATCTGTTGATTCTTCACTCGCGGCTTTTTTTATGGAACGTCAGGTTATCCATTGTCCATTGAGTAAGCATAAAATTAACGAATTGGATTTTCTGGTGAAAATCATAAACTTCTATCAGAACTTAATAATAATGAATATTTTAGACAGTAAGGCTTTGAATGAAACAAAAATAAACAGCATTTGTACTATGTATTGATATTATTAAATAATTACATACAAACAGAGTTGTGATTGAAATATATATTAAACAAAGTGCAATTAATATGCTGTATCAGTATATGTAAGTTGATTGATTGATAAGAATTATAAGGCCGGACAGTTTCTAGGCTGATTCAAAAGTTTTATTGACTATTTTTTTACAGTTTGTTCTCTAGTATGTCCTCTTTCATGTCGCATTAATGCAGGTTTTGTTTTGAATGTTTTATTGCATGTCTCACAATCATAAATGCGTTCTTCAGTATGCATTAATATATGTCTTCTTAAATCACTGGACCTTAAAAATGTTTTTTTGCATATTACGCACTCATGAGAGCGTTCTCCACTATGGATCAATTTATGTTTATTTAAGTTTCTTTTCAATCTGAATTTTTCATTACATATTTCACATGCGTGAGGACGTTCATCAGTATGAACTGATAAATGTCTTCTTAAACTACTTGACCGTGAAAATCTTTTATTGCATATTGTACACTCAAAAGGCCGTTCTCCAGTGTGAACCACTTCATGTTCAATTAAGTGTGAATTTATTTTGAATTTTTTATTGCATATTTTGCACTCATAAGGCCGTTTACCAGTGTGAATCATTGCATGTTGTTGTAAGCTTTTTTTTGATGTGAATGTTTTATTGCAAGATTCACATTTATACGGTTTGTAAGTGTGTTCTGCAGTATGCACTAACATATGTCTTCTTAAATCACTTGACCCTAAAAATGTTTTTTTGCATATTGCGCACTCATGAGGACGTTCACCAGTATGGATCAATGAATGCTGCCTTAAACTACTTGACTGTGAAAATCTTCTATAGCATATTTTGCACTCATAAGGCTGTTCTCCGGTGTGTACCAACTTATGCTGATTTAAGTTTGACTTTTTATTGAACTTTTTATTGCATAATTCACAAATATGAGGACGTTCACCAGTATGAATAAATGAATGCTGTCTTAAACTACTTAAACGTGAAAATCTTTTATTGCATATTTTACACTCATGAGGGCGTTCCCCAGAGTGTATAATTTTATGTCGGTTTAAGGTATGTTTTGTTGCAAATGTTTTGCTGCATATTTCGCACACATAAGGACGTTCTCCAATATGAACTGATAAATGTCTTTTTAAATAATTTAACTGTGAAAGTGTTTTATTACATATTTTGCACTCATAAGAGCGTTCTCCAGAATGAACTGCTTCATGTCTTTTTAACATGCTTTTTATTCTGAACGTTTTATTACATATTTCACATGCGTAAGGACGCTCACCAGAATGCAATGTTAAATGGTTTCTTAAAGTACTTGAATGTGAAAATCTTTGATTGCATATTTTGCACTCATAAGCACGCTCTTCATTATGCATTAATATATGTTTTCTTAAATCACTTAACCCTAAAAATGTTTTTTTGCATATTGCGCACTCATGATGGCGTACTCCAGTATGTACTATTTTATGTTCATTTAATCTTTTTTTCATTCTGAATGTTTTATTACATATTTCACATGAATACGGTTTCAATTTATTAGTTGTTTCCCTTTTGCCTGAAACTTTTTCAATAGATTTGTTCGTACTATCCACTAAATTACTTGAATTACTGACCTCTTCATCACATATATAAGAATTTTCATCTGAAACAGTTTTGTTTGTACTAGTCACATGATCTTGGTCATCAATCGTCTCTTGTTTTATTTCCTCGTCAATTGTAACCTCAGATTTTTCAAATTGCTGCAGACATATATCATCATCCATATACAAATCTGATGTATTTTCACAATCATCGAATTCCTGTTTCACTTGAGGATAATCATCGATCGGTTCCGTTTTAATTGTTTTGTTAAAATCTGTTTCTTCAGACATGTTTGAGGTTTGTAGGTTATAATAAACAAACAGATGATGAGTTCTTAAAAATTGAGAAGTCTAAGTGTATAATAATAAGTATGCTTCGATATTTACTAATTCGTTTATTGTTTGATAGGATATAATGCTAACACTGACCTTTTTACTAAATTTATCTTCGAACTTAACTTTAATAATTCCATTAACCACTTTGACATTTCTCCTCCATTTTGTTTTATAAAGAACAGATCAAGTTGAAGTTAACAACAATTCAGCCGCGTGTATTTCGGCGGCAAAATTTGAAAGCCGAAATTATTATTAGTTTCAACAAAGAACATAAAATCTGAACATACAAAAGTTTTTGAGAGGAAACAAATAAATATATAATATCTCCGCATGATCTCCGCTCATGTGCTGCTTGTCAGATTGAATTTGACGGTTTATTAAAATTGCATGAAAAGCTTACAAACGTGTACAGAAAATTAAATAATTGCTTACTTAAACCATACATAATCGAAACTCTAACGTGCGTTTGTGGAATCAAAAAAATGTATTACATTTTAATCAAGATATAGAAGCAAAAATGGAATCGAACCGTAAACCAAGAGAAATCCCAAAACTACGAAGGACCGTAATAATGCATCTACAAGTCTCTCTCAACCACAATCTGATGTCAAGAAACCTCCTAATTCATGGCAAGTAGTCAATTTCAAAAAAAAGAGTGCGCGTAAAGATCACACGCGATTGAAGTAAAACTTATTTGCAATTATATTGTAGCAAATTCAAGTTGAGTAAAAATAAATACATCATATAAAAATTTTGAATAATGTTTATTAGTAATATGGTAACACTCGTGATGCACACATTTATTAGTGTCGTCAATCATTATACACATTTATATAATGATAAATAAAATATTTACAAACAATAATGTAATCAAAGTCGTACTTGAAATATGACATGATCGTTTTAAAGTAATTGCTGATTAATAAATTCTATAATATTCATTCACACAGTGGATTATGTTAAACAACGCCTAAACACATATTGTTTTTGCAAATTAACTCATCCTGTAACAATTGTGTTTGAAGAACTTCATGTAATTAAAATTAACATACATTCATTTACTGTTTGTATTTTTTTACTTTTTCGCTGACGATATAATCTCATTCCTTGAACAGCTGTAATATCCGTCTTGCCTAACAAATTGAAGCCATACTTTTATATTTGTTTTATTTATCAAGCCCTGCACATAACTTGATCTATGAATCATTTGCTTTTTTATGTGAACGTTAATGCAATGACCATATTATTAATGTCAACAGGCACATTTATAATTTGGCCAAACATTCCAAATTGTCCATTTGCATGTCGCAATCGTCATGTCGCAATCGTCTAATTTGCATGAAACACAACCTAGGTGAAATTAACCTTTCAGATACAGTATCTAGTTTAGGTAGATAATTTGGTATAGGTGGAAATACAAACCCGTTAAACTTACACAAAGTGGGAATTTTACCCGAATTTAATATCTTTCGACAAGTCTGACATCCAACCTGATTATTTAAATCAATATTCAAAAAACATTATTAAGAATTTGTTTTTGAGCATCATTTGATATATCTAAGTCACTTTGAAGCCAAAGTCGATCACACACAAAACATACATAGCCAAAGCTATCATTTCTTATGCAGCGCAGATTTTTCCTTAGTTTCATTATTTATTTGCGATCATTTGCACTACAATTATTTGTGGGGGACGGGATAAAATATTCTTCCGGTCCTGACATTTTTATTAACTCACGAATTATACTGCTAACCCATGTCGCGCCTAAAGAAGTTTTTACACCCATGTCGCGCCTAAAGAAGTTTTACTTCAAAAAACGTGTAAAAAAAGACATTGATCTGATACAAAAATGGGTGATTTGTTCCTAATCTCTAAAACCTATTAAATATAGTGAAAAACAAGAATTTTTAAGAACAAGAATTAAATTAGTGCTATTCACATTCGTTTTGACCAGTAAAAATTGTTTGTACGCGCTAAAGGGGAATTCACTTAAATCTTTATACTAGTGTGGGAGATTGGCAGGTCGCGTCAATTTTAGTAAGCGAGACAAAAATAATAATTGACATGGGTTTTTGTTGGATCATTTGTTTTGAACTATGTAAAGTTTTGGTTCAGATAAATTTATGAAATTTATCACGGCATAAATGAATAAATATTTTATAATCGGAAAAGTGTTTGATTTCCGATACTAGTGTTCGCAAACTATCGATACTATCGATGGTTTCAGACTTTTTTCTTTCATAAATACTTTTTTGTGATATGAACATACTTCGCAAAAATTAAATTTGACAAAAAAAATTTAAGTACATAAAATTTCAACTCGTGCTAAATGGAATAAATTCGTGTAAAAAAATTAAAAATATTCAATTTTCAAACCGTGTTATATCAAAACCGTGTACAAAAAGACCGTGTAAAAACAGACTTAGGTGTACTCGAAACAAATGTGTTCTATAGTACGCTGTTCATGTATCTAAGGATTTGTCAAATCCCATTAATTATTTGAAATTCTTTTATAAACAATTCAAACATGTTTGTTGACATTATTATAAAAAAGTCACGATTTTAAGCATTTCAAAATTCTAAATTCAGTCCCTTCAATGATTTGCATTGAATGATATTCTTTTGCAATCATCTTGAATTCAATTCATTCAATTGTGCATCTAATTCAGCAATTTGGCGCATGGGTGAAGGATTAGTATTTTGCAAATAATTAATTATAACATTAGAATTATTAACTTCCCGAAGGAGATGTTTATCTTTTCATAAAAAAATCCAAATTGCTAATTTTATGTTTTCTCGACGTTTCAAGCCATTCTGAATCGAATGAGACCAAATTTGGAAAAAGTATGTGTGTGTGTGTGCGTGTGTGTAAACAGATTTTTTGCCGTAAATCGACGTTTTCTCAAAAACGGCTGTACCGATTTCAAAAATGTAAAAGCCATTCGATGTATCTCGATGAGGACTATTATTTATCATTTTTGTGCGTCGATCGGCCAAGCCGTTTCTTTATAAATCGCAGAAAAGTGAAAAATTTTTCGTCTACGTTTTAGCCCGCAATTCTGAATCGATTATGAAAATTCAAAAACCGTTCGAAAGATATTGGTTGGGAATCGTGCTGATTAGTTTTTGGTGGAGATCGGCCGGGCCGTTTTCTTGTAATAAAGTTTTTTTAAAAAAAAATTTCGACGATTTTTATGATTATTTTTTTGACGGTAGATACCATAGTCTTCTAGATCATACTAAAATATTACGGCCATACGACAACTGGTTCAGCTTTAAAAATTCGTCAAAGTTGGCAAAAATTAGTATGGTCTTTTTGGCATTTGTCAAAATTAGAACTTTCATCGACGTTTGCTCAAAAACGCCTGAACCGATTTCAGAAATTTAAAAGCCATTTGTTGTATCTCAATGAGGACAATCGCTTGTCAATTTTGTGTAACGATCAGCCGAGCCGTTTCTTTGTAATTTGCAAAAACGTGTTAAACTTTTCGTCCACATTTAAGCTCATCCTACCGAACCGATTTTAAAAAATCAAAAACTGTTCGAAAGATATTAGTTGGGAATGGTACTGATTAGTTTTAGGTGAAAATCTACCGAGCCGTTTTCTTGTAATTAACTGTTAAAAAAATTAAGCCGATTTTTATGGAACTTTTTTTGGCGATATATATCATGGTCTTATAGAACTTACTAAATTATTACGGCCTTACGACACTTTTTTTTAAATTGCAAAGAAACGGCTTGGCAGATCGTCGCACAAAACTGACAAACGATAGTCCTCACCGAAATACATCAAATGGCTTTTAAATTTCTGAAATCGGTTCAGGCGTTTTTGAGAAAACGTCTATCAAAAGTCTAATTTTGACAAATGCCAAAAAAACGATACCAATTTTTGAAAACTTTGACGAATTTTCAAAGTTAAACCAATCGTCGTAGGGCCGTAATATTTTAGTATGATCTAGAATTCTAGAAGACTATAGTATCTACCGTCAAAAAAATAATCATAAAAATCGTCGAAAAAATTTTTTTTAACACTTTATTACAAGAAAACGGCCCGGCCGATCTTTACCAAAAACTAATCAGCACGATTCCCAACCAATATCTATCGAATGGTTTCCGAATTTTCAGAATCGATTCAGAATTGCGGGCTAAAACGTGGACGAAAACTTTTTCACTTTTCTGCAATTTACAAAGAAACGGTCCGGCCGATCGCCGCACAAAACTCAGAAGCGATAGTCCTCATCGAGATACATCAAATGGCTTTTAAATTTTTGAAATCGGCTCAGCCGTTTTCGAGAAAACGTCGATTTACGGCAAAAAATCTGTTCACATGCACACACACCTACACACTTTTTCCAAATTCTGTCTTATGGCTTGAAATGTCGAGAAAACATAAAATTAGCAAATCGGATTTTTTGATGAAAACATAAACTTCTCCTTCGGGAAGTTAATTAGATGATTTAGTTGGTATAACGATAGTGTACTTGGTCCTGAACATAGTAAACCATTAAAGTCCTACGGAAACTGGTTCAATTTTAATTATTGATTAATTAAAATTATTGATTTTTGGAAATTTGCTTTCAGAAAATACTCCGAGTTAAGGTGTTCGTGCAAAAAATGCGGGCGCACGCCTTAGGGGGCGCCAAAACGAGTTGCGGAAATTAAATTTATAATATAATATTTATATTTTTTATTATTTATATAAAATTTAGAATACTTAATAAATTGTAATAAACAATTAAAACTAACAATTAAACCGAAAAAAATAACCATCTAATAATGTGCAAATTAGTTAATTAACAGCTTTGTTTATTACTTAATCTACTTATTCATTATTTTCTTTGTTTGAAGTTACCGTGATATCGAAAAAGAAATTATCTAGTGTTCAATTCCACAAGCGCAAACCTGCGAAAGATTAAATTGGGCATTATTGACAAAAAATTGCGAGCTGATTTAGTTGATACAGAACGAAATTTTGTTAAAGGCATTTTTTGCACACCGTCTACTCATAATTTATTCGGTTATCCGTTCTCTAAAAAACTGCATAACCGTTTTTACACCCTTTGCGCTCCATACAAACCAAATGATTTTTTATTCATAAAATCGGTTATTCCATACTGTCGAGAATGTCGAGGACATTAGTTTGATCCATTACATATATTTAAAAAAAAAAAGAAAGATATTGGTACAAAACTCAAAAAAATTGACACAAAATTTGTGCACATGATTAAAATCTTTGATAATATGATGTGCATATGTCTATAATTATCATTTTTGACCGCCAAATGGCATTTTTTTATAAGGAATAAATAAGGAACTTCTACTTAACCCGCATCTGTGCTATGTATTTATATTATTAAACAATTACATACAATACACTAATTATGAGTAACAAACAGAATAATATAATGCACAAATTAGAATTAATATCCTGTATTCATATAAGTTGTGTAATTATAAGGATTGTTTTTTTAGAGTTTGTTTCCTAGTATGTCTTCTTTCATGCCGCATTAATTTTTGTTCTGTTTTGAATGTTTTATAGCATATGTCACATGGATAAGGTCTTTCTTCAGTATGCACTGATGAATGTTTTTTTAAACTACCTGACCATAAAAATCTTTTATTGCATATTTTGCACTCATAAGGCCGTTCTCCAGTATGGATCATTTCATGTTTGTTTAAGTTTTGTTTCAATCTGAATTTTTTATTACATATTTCGCATACATAAGGACGTTCTTCAGTATGAACTGAAAAATGATCTTTTAAACCAGTTAACCTTAAAAATCTTTTATTGCATATTTTGCACTCATAAGGCTGTTCTCCAGTGTGGACCAATTTATGCTGATTTAAGTTTGACTTTTTATTGAACTTTTTATTGCATATTGCGCACTCATGAGGGCGTTCCCCAGTGTGAATCATTTCATGTCGTTGTAAGCCTTGTTTTGCTACAAATGTTTTACTGCATGATTTACATTTATATTTCAACTTACTAGTTGTCTTACGCTTTCCTGAAACTTTTTCAAATGTTTTGTTTGTACTATCGACTATCTTACTTGATTCACTGATATCTTCGTTACATATGGAAGAATTTTCATCTAATACAGTTTTGTTTGTACTAGCCACGTCATGTTGTTCATAAATCGTCTCTTGTTTTATTTCCTCGTCAATTGTAACCTCAGATTTAAGAAATTGCTGCAGACATATATGATCATCCATATACAAATCTGACGTATCATAATCATCGAATTCCTGTTTCACTTGGGGATAATCATCAATCAGTTCGGTTTTAACTGTTTTGTTAAAATCTATTTCTTCAGACATGTTTGAAGTTTGTAGGTTATAATAAACAAAGTGACGATGAGTTCTTAAAAATTAAGAAGTCTAAGTGTATAATGATATATGTGTTACGATTATTTATTTCGCTTGTTGTTTAATATGATATAATGCAAACACTGACCTTTTTACTTCGAATTTTAACTTTAATAATTCCTCAAACCAATTTGACATTTCTCCTCCATATTTGTTTTACAAACACGTGATCAGGTTGGAGAACATAAACACATTTCAACTGCGTAAAAAATTATTAGTATCAACAGAAAGAATTTCGAAATCTAAAGATACAGAGGTTTTAGGGGGAAAATAAGGTACAATGCAAACCTAAAGCAAATAATAATAAATATTGTACAATTTTTCAAAAATAGCAAGGCTTTGAATAAAACAAAAATAAATAGCATTTGTAATATGTATTTATATTATTAAACAATTACATACAATACACTAGTTATGAGTAACAAACAGAGTTGTGACTGAAATATATAATAAATGAAGTGCAATTAATATGCTATATCGATATAAGTTGTGTAATGAATAAGGATTATTAGGTTGCGCAGTTTCTTGACTGATTCAACAGTTTTGTTGACTTTTTAATTACAGTTTGTTCTCTAGTATGTATTCTTTTTTCATGTTGTATTAATACAGGTTTTGTTTTGAATGTTTTATTGCATGTCTCACATTCATAAGGTCGTTCTTCACTATGCACTAATAAATGCTTTCTTAAAGTACTTGACTGTGTAAATCTTTTATTGCATATTTTGCACTCATGAGGCCGTTCTCCAGTATGCACTGATAAATGATATCTTAAACTACCATACTGTAAAAATGTTTTTTTGCATATTTTGCACTCATAAGGTTGTTCTTCAGTATGAACTGATGAATGTTTTTTTAAATAACGTAAGCATGGAAATGTTTTATTACATATTTTGCACTCATAAGAACGTTCTCCAGAATGGACTGCTTCATGTTGTTTTAACATTTTTTTCATTCTGAATGTTTTATTACATATTTCACATGCGTAAGGACGTTCACCAGTATGAATTGATGAATGTGATCTTAAACTACTTAATTGTGAAAATGTTTTTTTGCATATTTTGCACTCATAAGAGCGTTCTCCAAAATGGACCTCTTTATGTTCTTTTAAATATTTTTTCCTTTTGAATGTTTTATTACATATTTCACATGCGTAAGGACGTTCTCCAGTATGGACTGATAAGTGCTGTCTTAAAGTACTTGAGTGCGAAAATGTTTTATTGCATATTTTGCACTCATAAGGGCGTTCTCCAGTATGAATCATTTGATGTTGTTGTAAGCTTTGTTTTGCTGCAAATGTTTTATGGCATATTTCACATGTATACGGTTTCAATTTATTAGTTGTTTCACTTTTTCCTGAAACTTCTTCAAATGATTTGTTCCTACTATCCACTAAATTACTTGATTCACTGATCTCTTCACCACATATATAAGAACTTTCATCTAATACAGTTTTGTTTGTACTAGTCATGTCATCTTGCTCATCAATCATCTCTTGTTTTATTTCCTCGTCAATTGTAACTTCAGATTTTAGAAATTGCTGCCGACATATATCATCATCCATATACAAATCTGATGTATTTTCACAATCATCAAATTCCTGTTTCACTTGAGGATAATCATCGAACGGTTCGATTTTAATTGTTGTGTTTGAATTTGTTTCTTCAGACATTTTTGAGGATAGTTTAGTTACAATAGACTAACTTTTGATGAGTTCTTAAAGATTGAGAAGTCTAAGTGTATAATGATATATGTGTTACGATTATTTATTTCGCTTGTTGTTTAATATGATATAACACTAACAATGACCTTTTTACTAAATTTATCTTCGAATTTAACTTTAATAATTCCATAAAACACTTTGACATTTTTCCTCCATATTTGTTTTATAAACACGTGATCAGGTTGGACAACATAAACACCTTTCAACTGCGAGTTTGTCAGAGGCAAATTTGAAATAAAAAATTATTAGTATCAACAGAAAGAATTTCGAAATCTAGAGATACAAAGGTTTTAGAGGGAAAACAAGGTACAATACAAACCTACAGCAAATAATAATAAATATTGTACAATTTTTCAAAAATAGTAAGCCTTTGAATAAAACCAAAATAAATAGCATTTGTAATATGTATTTATATTATTAAACAATTACATACAATACACTAGTTATGAGTAACAAACAGAGTTGTGACTGAAATATATAATAAATGAAGTGCAATTAATATGCTATATCAATATAAATTGTGTAAAGGATAAGGATTATTAGGTCGGGCAGTTTCTTGACTGATTCAACAGTTTTGTTGACTTTTTAATTACAGTTGGTTCTCTAATATGTATTCTTTTTTCATGTTGTATTAATACAGGTTTTGTTTTGAATGTTTTATTGCACGTCTCACATTCATAAGGTCGTTCTTCACTATGCACTGATGAATGCAATTTTAAACTATTTATCTGTGTAAATCTTTTATTGCATATTTTGCACTCATGAGGCCGTTCTTTAGTATGCACTGATAAATGATATCTTAAACTACCATACTGTAAAAATCTTTTTTTGCATATTTTGCACTCATAAGGCCGTTCTCCAGTGTGGACCACTTTATGTTTAATTAAGTGTGAATTTGTTTTGAATTTTTTATTGCATATTTCACAATCATAAATGCGTTCTGCAGTATGCACTAACATATGTTTTCTTAAATCACTGGACCCTAAAAATGATTTTTTGCATATTGCGCACTCACGAGGACGTTCACCAGTATGGATCAATGAATGCTGCCTTAAACTACTTGACTGTGAAAATCTTTTATTGCATATTTTGCACTCATAAGGCTGTTCTCCAGTGTGGACCAATTTATGCTGATTTAAGTTTGACTTTTTATTGAATTTTTTATTGCATAATTCACAAATATGAGGACGTTCACCAGTATGAATCAATGAATGCTGTCTTAAACTACTTGACTGTGAAAATCTTTTATTGCATATTTTGCACTCATAAGGGCGTTCCCCAGTGTGAATCATTTCATGTCTCTTTAAGCTATTTTTTGTTGTGAATATTTTACTGCATGATTTACATTTATATGATTTCAAGTTTTTAGTTGTTTCTCTTTTGCCTGAAACTTTTTCAAATGATTTGTTTGTACTATCCACTAAATTACTTGAATTACTGATCTCTCCACCACATATATAAGAACTTTTTGTTTGTACATATATTTGAACAGTTTTGTTTGTACTAGTCACATCATGTTGGTCATCAATCGTCTCTTGTTTCATTTCCTCGTCAATTGTAACCTCAGATTTAAGAAATTGCTGCAGACATATATCATCATTCATATACAAATCTGACGTATCATAATCATCGAATTCCTGTTTCACTTGGGGATAATCAGCAATCAGTTCGGTTTTAACTGTTTTGTTAAAATCTATTTCTTCAGACATGTTTGAAGTTTGTAGGTTATAATAAACAAACTGGTTATGAGCTCTTAAAAATTGTGAAGTCTAAGTAATTTACTAACTCGTTTATTGTTTAATAGGATATAATGCTAACACCGACCTTTTTACTAAATTTATCTTCGAACTTAACTTTAACAATTCCGTAAACCACTTTGACATTTCTCCTCCATTTTGTTTTACAACAGATCAAGTTGAAGTTAACAACAATTCAGGCGCGTGTATTTCGGCGGCAAAATTTGAAATCCGAATTTATTATTAGTTTCAACAAAAAACATAAAATCTAAACATACAAAAGTTTTTGAGAGGAAACAAATAAATATATAATATCTCCGCTCATGTGCTGCTTGGTCGTATTTTCGAGTTGTCTCGTAAGGATTTTGGCCAGTACCTTTCCAATGTGCGAAGCCAAACTGATCGTCCTGTTACTTTCTTTCTTCTTATATCATTGACTTCGCTTTTAAATATGCACGGTTCATTATCGTCATCAACCAATTTTTTCTCTTTTTCGATCTCAACATTTTCGGGACGATTTTGTCAATGTATTTTTCCCACACGCTGAGAATTTTCTTGTGGTCAGTCACTCTATTTTCACTATTGTCTTTCATTTCGTTTCTTTTTTATTTAGTCCAATCCATTTTCTTTGTAGCCGCCTGAAACATTAAATTGTGACTATTTTGTTGAAGTAAAACTTATGTTTACTTATCTATGTGATGTCTATGTGTACGTCATTCGCTCTCGATGATATCATTTCTATACGGGCCGATTGTGATTAGTCGTCGTGTATGTGAATAGAGATCTGTCGTTGTATGCGTACCGATAACAACAAGGAAATCGGCATAGATAAATAAACATTTTAAAGTTACATCGTAGTACAAATGTTGATTTAATGAAAAATGCCTGAATCAGAAGAATATTTTACCCAGTTCCTTGAAAATAATAAAACAAATTAAACATTTGTGTCGTGTACTAAACGTAAGTTTATTGATTAGAAATTATTTCTATATTATTCGTAGTTTCCAGAAATCTATGAAGTTATTCAAATGGTATAATTTTTTAGGCAAGAAAGATATTTAAGCTGTTCAAAGAATGAGATTATATCGCCAGCGAAAAAATAAAAAAAATACAAGCTGTACAATGAATGTACGTTAATTTTAATTACATGATGAGAGAAGTTGCAAAAACAATATTTAAAGCAATTCAAGACGATATTAACTGAGCATATTAATTATGACAAGAGCCTGAAATAATATCTATTATTATTGATTACGGCTTGCTTATGAATAAATTAATAAATAAATAAATAAATAAACCATAATATAGATTTTTTTCAACCCAAAAATTTTACATTTTGAAGAGAAAGTAATTAAAAAAGATTCGCAGAGAGGTTGTTTTTGCAATTGCATAACGACAGGGTCATAAACAAACGCTTTGATAATACGGCTCTGAACGAAACAAACACGTGGTTCCTAAATAGCGTGTCGAAATTTCTTTTCATTGTTTCATTTCATTTCAAAATTAAGAAATTGGATTTTCTGGTGAAAATCATAAACTTCTTTGGGAAGTTAATAATAATAAAAATTGTAGAATTTTAGAAAAAATAATAGGGCTTTGAATAAAACAAAAATAAATAGCATTTGTAATATGTTTTGATATTATTGAACAATTACATACAATACACTGATTATGAGTAATAAACAAAGTTGTGACTTAAATATATATTAAATAAATTGCAATTAATATGCGGTATCAATATAAATTGTGTAATAGATAAGGTGGAACAGTTTCCAGACTTATTCAACTAATTTGTTGACTTTTTAATTACAGTTTGTTCTCTAGTATGTCCTCTTTCATGTCGCATTAATGCAGGTTTTGTTTTGAATGTTTTATTGCATGTCTTACATTCATAAGGTCTTTCATCAGTATGCACTGATGAATGTAATTTTAAAATATTTAACCGTGTAAATCTTTTATTGCATATTTCACACACATAAGGGCGTTCTCCAATATGAACTGATAAATGTCTTTTTAAATTACCTAACTCTGAAAATCTTTTATTGCATATTTTGCACTCATAAGAGCGTACTCCAGAATGAACTGCTTCATGTCTTTTTAACATGCGTTTCAGTCTGAACTTTTTATTACATATTTCACATGAGTAAGGACGCTCACCAGAATGCAATGTTAAATGTTCTCTTAAAGTACTTGACTGTGAAAATCTTTGATTGCATATATTACACTCATAAGGCTGTTCTCCAGTATGTACTATTTTATGTTGATTTAATACTTGTTTTGTTTGAATTTTTTATTGCATATTACGCACTCATGTCCATACTGGCGTTCTTCAGTATGAACCAGTTTATGTTGATTTAAGTATTCTTTTAATCTGAATTTTTCATTACATATTTCACAAATATAAGGACGTTCTCCGGTATGCACTGATAAATGCTTTCTTAAATTACCAGACTGTGTAAATCTTTTATTGCATATTTTGCACTCATGAGGCCGTTTTCCAGTATGGACCACTTTATGCTTATTTAAGTTTCTCTTTGTTTTGAATTTTTTATAGCATATTTCACAGATATACGGGCATTCTTCAGTATGCACTGATAAATGCTCTCTTAATCTATATGACTGTAAAAATCTTTTTTTGCATATTTTGCACTCATGAGGCCGTTCCCCAGAGTGAATCGCTTCATGTCTCTTCAAGCTATTTTTCATTGTGAATATTTTACTGCATGATTTACATTTATATGATTTCAAGTTTTTAGTTGTTTCCCTTTTGCCTGAAACTTTTTCAAATGATTTGTTCGTACTATCCACTAAATTACTTGATTCACTGATCTCTTCACCACATATGTAAGAATTTTCATCTAAAAACAATTTTGTTTTGTTTGTACTAGCCACGTCATCTTGGTCATCAATCGTCTCTTGTTTTATTTTCTCGTCAATTGTAACCTCAGATTTTAGAAATTGCTGCAGACATATATCATCATCCATAGTCAAATCTGACGCATCATAATCATCAAGTTCCTGTTTCACTTGAGGATAATCATCGAACGTTTCGGTTTTAATTGTTTTGTTAGAATCTGTTTCTTCAGACATTTTTGAGGCTAGTTTGGTTACAGTAGAGAAGTCTAAGTGTATATTAATATGTTTCGAAATTTACTAATTCGTTTATTATTTAATATAATATAATACTAGCACTGACCTTCTTACTATTATTTTAAATTTTTCATTCAACTTATAATTTCATAAAACACTTTGACATTTCTCCTCCATTTTGTTTTGATCAACGAGTGATCAGGTTGGACAACATGAAGCACATTTCAAATGCGAGTTTTTCGGTGGCAAAATTTGAAATCCGAAATTATTATTAGTTTTAACAGAAAAACATAAAATCTGAACATACAAAAGTTTTTGAGAGAAAACGAATAATATATATATATATATATATATATATATCTTTTCATTAAAACCATATAAAATATGTATGAACTTGCGGGAATCAAAGAGTTTATGTGAATAATAATACAACCGTTTATGCAGAAGGATAAAAACAGACTGACTGATTATATATTCTTTAACTAAACACATGCAAAAGAGAAACATATATACATAAACAGAGTAGGCATAGAGTGTTTAGTATCATAAACATTGAAGTGGACTATAAAACTCGGTACTCGGTACGGTTGAAAATTTGAGTTTTTAGGTGAAGTGAAGTTTAATTAATTACAGCACGACCAAGACGAACGACAAAGCCATTAATAAACTTTAATTTATTGTTTTTTTATTTTTTTATTATAATAAATTTTAATGAAATTTTGATCAATGTTGATTCATCAGATTCGAATTTCAATCCATTTTCAAATAAAAAGAACCACTGCAAAACGGCAAAATATTTTTAATGACAAAGCAATGTTGGCCGGGTCAGCTAGTTCGAATGTATCCCCCGTAAATAAATAGATTTTACTGTATATTTAGGTTATCCATTGTCGATTGAGTAAACATATTAACAAATTGGATTTTCTGCTGAAAATCATAAACTTCTTTCTTGTGGAATTTCACAAAAATAGTAAGGCTTTGAATAAAACAAAAATAAATAGGTTTTGTACTATGTATTGATATTATTAAACAATTACATACAAGGCACTGGTTAGGAGTAACAAACAGAGTTGTGACTGAAATTTACATTAAACAAAGTGCAATTAATATCCTGTATAAATATAAATTGAGATGAAGTTGAGTGATTGATAAAGATTATATGGTGCAACAGTTTCTAGGCTGATACAACATTGACTGTTAAATTAGTTTGTTCTTAAGTATGTCCTCTTTCATTTCACATTAATATATGTTTTGTTTTGAATCTTTTATTGAATGTGTCTTTCTACAGTATGCACTGATAAATGCTTTCTTAAACTACTTAACCATAAAAATGTTTTCTTGCATATTACGCACTCATGAGAGCGATCTCCAGTATGGACTAATTTATGTTCATTTAATATTTTTTTCAATCTGAATGTTTTATTACATATTTCACATGTGTAAGGTCGTTCTTCAGTATGCACTGATAAATGGGATCTCAAAGTACTTATGTGTATAAATGTTTTATTACATATTTTACACTCATAAGGGCGTTCCCCAGTATGGATCATTTCATGTTGGATTAAGTTATATTTATTTGTGAATGCTTTATTGCATATTTCGCACACATAAGGACTTTCTCCAGTATGAACTGATAAATGTGCTTTTAAATGACTTAACCGTGACAGTGTTTTATTACATATTTTGCACTCATAAGAACGTTCTTCAGAATGGACCACTTTATGTTGTTTTAACATTTTTTTCATTCTAAATGTTTTATTACAAATTTCACATGCATAAGGACGTTCACCAGTATGAATCAATGAATGCTGTCTTAAACTACTTGACCGTAAAAATCTTTTATTGCATATTTTACACTCATGAGAGCGTTCCCCAGAGTGTATAATTTTATGTCGGTTTAAGTTATGTTTTGTTGCAAATGTTTTACGGCATATTTCACATGTATACGGTTTCAATTTATTAGTAGTTTCACTTATTCCTGAAACTTCTTCAAATGATTTTTTCGTACTATCCACTAAATTACTTGAATTACTGATCTCTTCATCACATATATAAGAATTTTCATCTAAAACAGTTTTGTTTGTACTAGCCACATCATCTTGGTCATAAATCGTCTCTTGTTTTATTTCCTCGTCAATTGTAACCTCGGATTTTGAAAATTGCTGCCGACATATATCATCATCCATATACAAATCTGATGTATTTTCACATTCATCAAATTCCTGTTTCACTTGAGAATAGTCATCGAACGGTTCGGTTTTAATTGTTTTGTTAAAATCTGTTTCTTCAGACATGTTTGAAGTTTGTAGGTTATAATAAACAAACTGGTGATGAAATCAATCAATTAAATGTTGAGAAGTCTTTTAATTTATGTGTATAATAATAAATATGTTTAGATATTTACTATTCGTTTATTGTTTAATATGATATGCTAACACTGACCTTTTTACTGAATTTATCTTCTAATTTAACTTTAACCATAAACCACTTTGATATTTCTCCTCCATTTTGCTTTTATAAAAAACGGATCAAGCTGAAGTTAAATACAAATCAGCTGTAAGTTTTTCGGCGGCAAAATTTGAAATTCAAAACTACGAGGGTCATGTAAAAAATAAAGTTCCCACATTTTTTTCAGGGTTGAGGCATTTTTTATTGCAATAAATGTGTATGCCATCGGAAAGCTTGTATTTCAAAATATTTTTCTACATAATCGCCAGATTTTTCAACGCATTTTTGCTGAGGAGTTTTCCACTTCTGTGTAAACCCGCTTCGAAGAACTCCGCCGCCACGCCCTTGCTCGGTCTTCTTCTCCGGCGATTTTGGATGGCTTTTTTGAGTTTTGTTAGTGTTTCGCATAGTGGACTTTTTAAGCATTAATTCGGTAAGCAAGACACATTTTCGGTCCCAAAACTCGATGGCCTCTCCCTGCACCGTTTGAGGACGTGCTGGACGCTGATGCAAGTTTTGCCGTAAACTTCTTCCAACTGTCTATGAATTTCAATAGTTGTGAGCTTCGTTTAAAAATCAAATGACTTAACGGATTTCACATTTGCATATTGTCAAGATTCACAATCTAAACTAGTTGGTTTGGTATTTAGCCTTGAGGCAAGTTACATGAACTTCCCGATATGTTTAAATAATCGACTTAACCGATAAAAACTAAATTACTTAATTTATGAGTCATTAAAAGTATTCCGAGTGGATTTATTACACATAACTGAAAACGTACGAACACTTTGACTCGGAGTATTTTCTAAAAGCAAATTTTCAAAAATCAATAATTTAAAACTAATCACGACTACTGATAAAGTATGATATCTTTAAAACTATTTTCAAATTTTATAAATCCGCGCAGGATTTTTGCTAAAGCGTCGGATCTTAACAAATGCCAGGAAAGCTCATAAATTTTTCAAAGTTTGATGGTGAAACGACTTATTGTAGGATCGTAATACTTTTAGTATGTTCTGTAAAGACAATGACATATATCGTAAAAAAAATTTCAAGAAAATTGTCGAACAGTAATATTTAACAAAAAATTACAAAAAAGCTATCTTTACCGAAAATTAATCAGTACGATTTTTATCTTTTTCCTAAATTTTAAATTTTTCTAATCAGTTTAGTAGTTTATGGGAAAACGTCGATGAAGGTCTAATTTTGACTGAAAAGCGTTACTAGTATTTTTCAAACTTTGATGAATTTTTAAAATTAAACTACTTGTAGTAAGACCATGATGTATATCGCCAAAAAAAGTTCCATGAAAATCGGCTTAATTTTTTTTTTAACAGTTCATTACAAGAAAACGGCTCGGTAGATTTTCACCTAAAATTAATCAGCATCATTCCCAACTAATATCTTTCGAACAGTTTTTGATTTTTCAAAATCGGTTCGGTAGTATGAGCTTAAATGTGGACGAAAATTTAACACTTTTTTTTCAACATTTAATTAAAAGAAAACGGCTCGGTAGATTTTCACCTAAAATTAATCAGCATCATTCCCAAATGATATCTTTCGAACAGTTTTTGATTTTTTAAAATCGGTTCGGTAGGATGAGCTTAAATGTGGACGAAAATTTAACACTTTTTTTCAACATTTAATTACAAGAAAACGGCTCGGTAGATTTTCACCTAAAACTAATCAGTACCATTCCCAACTAATATCTTTCGAACAGTTTTTGATTTTTTAAAATCGGTTCGGTAGGATGAGCATAAATGTGGACGAAAAGTTTAACACTTTTTTTCAAATTGCAAAGAAACGGCTTGGCAGATCGTCAAACAAAACTGACAAACGATAGTCCTCACCAAAATACATCAAATAGCTTTTAAATTTCTAAAATCGGCTCAGGCGTTTTTGAGAAAACGTCGATCAAAGGTCTAACTTTGACAAATGCCAAAAAAACAATACCAATTTTTGCAAACTTTGACGAATTTTTAAAGCTGAACCAGTTGTCGTAGGGCCGTAATATTTTAGTATGATATAGAAGACTATGGTATCTACCGTCAAAAAAATAATCATAAAAATCGTCGAATTTTTTTTTTTAAAACTTTATTACAAGAAAACGGCCCGGCGGATCTCTACCAAAAAATAATCACCACAATTCCCAACCAATATCTTTCGAACGGTTTTTGAATTTTCAAAATCGGTTCAGAATTGCGGGCTAAAACGTGGACGAAAGAGTTTTCACTTCTCTGCTATTTACGAAGAAACGGTTTGGCCGATCGTCGCACAAAACTGTCGAACAATAGTCCTCATCGAGATACATCGAATGGCTTTTAAATTTTTGAAATCGGTCCAGCCGTTTTTGAGAAAACGGCGATTTACGGCAAAAAATCTGTTGGTGCACACGCACACACACACACACACACACACATACTTTTTCCAAATTTGGTCTCATTCGATTCAGAATGGCTTGAAACGTCGAGAAAACATAAAATTAGCGAATCGGATTTTTTTATGAAAACATAAACTTCTCCTTCGGGAAGTTAAAAAATATTGCCAAGAGCGTTAAACAATAAAACATAATACATATTATGAATAAACTAGTGAGGCGCATGGCAACGTGCCTTAAGGCTAATTGCTGGAACTTCCCGTACCGTAATTAAACATTCGAAAAATGAAAATAATCGATAATTGTTTTGAATAATTTCAAATAGATTATTTATTATAAATATATATTTTAAACTTAATTAATAGTTTAGAAAATTTTTCAAAATTTTGAAATTTTTTTAGAAGTTGAAAATTTTTTTTAAAATTTTTTTAAAAATTTTTGAAAAGATTCGGTTTTTTAGAAAATTTCAAAATATTCTCAAATTTTTGTAAAAAATCTTTTTTTTATTTTGATTTTTTTTTAAATTTTCCAAAATTTAATTTTGTGATTTTTTTTATTTATTTTCATTCTGCAATCTATAAAAATAATTATTTTTAGCAGAGAATGCTGACAAGTTGTTTACAAATTAGTATATACGCCACCAGATTGTTTCGTCTGGAAAGATGAAAAAATTTTTGCTTGTTTTATATTTGAAAAGAAAAATTTGATTTTATTACACAACAGTAATGAATTTATTTCGATTACAAAAATGAAGTGTTTTTTAGTTGAACTTCTCTAAGTAAATGAAAGTGAATCCGCAAATTATCCGTTTCATTGAGGTGCTCTTTGGTAAACCACATTTTTTGTTTTTTGGTCTGGCGTTAACACAAACAAAGCGGATGGTTTTCCAACTCGTGAACAGGAAACGTATAACTGCCCATGTGAAAAACAATGATTTTCTAAATAATCTATATGAAATTTATCCTTGTTCAAATCTAGACTTGTTATTGCGAACGCAAGGCGAACTGGAAATTGTAATCGTTTGAAGTCAAACGGAAGACCAGTCGGAATCATTGGTATGTCACCAAATCGCCAGCAATATTTGATTGAATGGTGAAATTCAGTGCGTGTACATCATTATTCTTTGCGGCAAGAATTGCTCGTTGACTTGATCAAGGATAATTCTGAAAATTCTCACTAATGTCATTACTCGAATTTTTAATTACGGTGCGTCAAGTTTCAGCAACTTGCATCAAGGCACGATGCCATGCACAACTAATTTTCTTAGCTATAAACCTTGCGGAGCCCGAGACCTTTCCAACGAATGCAAAATTGTCGAAATCGGTTCGTGCGTTCTAGAGTTATATCGTCACGAAGGAAAATACGACTTATTTTTATATATATGTAGATAATCTATTTGAAATTCACGAAAATGATGAAAAATTTCGGAAATTTGAATTTTTTGAAACTTTGTTTTTTTTTGAAAATTTTGAATTTTTTTTTTTGAACATTTTCAAAATTACGAAATTTTCTTCAAGCAAAATGTTTTTTGAATTAATTTATTCGGATGATCCGTTCTCTCAAAAACTGCATATTCGTTTTTACACCCTTTGCGCTCCATACCCCCGAAACGGCAAAATTGCCTTTTGCAAAAACGCATCGCGATCAAGTACAAACCAAGATTTTTTATTCATACAAATCCGTTACACGCAAATTAAAAATCTTGGTATGCCAACAAAATTGACACAAAATGTGTGCACATTATTAAAATCTTTATGAAACATCTGATAATTTGATGTGTATATATCTAATGATCATTTTTGACCTCCAAAAGGCATTTTTTAAACTTATTATTATTGAAACTCCGAAACCACTAGACCTGCCTTCCTAAAAATTCATCAGTTCTCTTTTTCGTCAATATAAATAAAATGTTTTTTTGAATCATTCAAATCGAACGCTTCGTTCTCTCGTAAACTAAATTACCGTTTTTGGCACTTTTTGCCCCGTATCATCGAATGATACCGGAACAACTAGACCTGCCTTTGCCAAAAACTAATCCGCACATCTCCGTTCAAAGTTTTCTTCATTTGTTCAAAAATGACGGCATTTACACAGAATTTTGGGTTTGATATAGGAAGCCGCGAATATAGGAATTGGGTAAAAATTTTTTTGGCCGCGAATTGCAAAAACGCTAATAAAGAACTTCTACTTGACCAGCATCTGTACTATGTATTTATATTATTAAACAATTACATACAATACACTAATTATGAGTAACAAACAGAACAATATAATGCACAAATTAGAATTAATATCTTGTATTCATTTTCACAGAGTGTTCTCTAGTATGTCCTTTTTTATGTCGCATTAATTTTTGTTCTGTTTTGTATTTTTTATTGCATATGTCACATGGATAAGGTCGTTCTTCACTATGCGCTGATGAATGCTGTCTTAAATTACTTGACTGTGAAAATCTTTTATTGCATATTTTGCACTCATAAGGTTGTTCTCCAGTATGAACTGATAAATGTGTTTTTAAATAACGTAAGCATGAAAATGTTTTATTACATATTTTGCACTCATAAGAACGTTCTCCAGAATGGACTGCTTCATGTTGTTTTAACATTTTTTTCATTCTGAATGTTTTATTACATATTTCACATGCGTAAGGGCGTTCACCAGTATGAATCGATAAATGGTCTCTTAAACTACTTGAATGTAAAAATGTTTTCTTGCATATTTTGCACTCATAAGGTTGTTCTCCAGTATGAACTGATAAATGTGCTTTTAAATAACTTAACCGTAAAAGTGTTTTATTACATATTTTGCACTCATAAGAACGTTCTCCAGAATGGACTGCTTTATGTTGTTTTAACACTCTTTTCATTCGAAATGTTTTATTACATATTTCACATGCATAAGGACGTTCACCAGTATGAATCGATAAATGGTCTCTTAAACTACTTGAATGTAAAAATGTTTTATTGCATATTTTGCACTCATAAGGGCGTTCCCCAGTGTGAATCATTACATGTTGTTGTAAGCTATGTTTTGCTGTGAATGTTTTATTGCATGATTCACATGTATACGGTTTCAATTTATTAGTTGTTTCACTTTTTCCTGAAACTTCTTCAAATGATTTGTTCCTACTATCCACTAAATTACTTGATTCACCGATCTTTTCACCACATATATAAGAACTTTCATCTAATACAGTTTTGTTTGTACTAGTCATGTCATCTTGCTCATCAATCATCTCTTGTTTTATTTCCTCGTCAATTGTAACCTCAGATTTAAGAAATTGCTGCCGACAAATATCATCATCCATATACAAATTTGACGTATCATAATCATCAAGTTCCTGTTTCACTTGAGGATAATCATCGAACGGTTCGGTTTTAATTGTTTTGGTAAAATCAATTTCTTCAGACATTTTTGAGGATAGTTTAGTTACAATAGACTAACTTTTGATGAGTTCTTAAAGATTGAGAAGTCTCAGTGTATAATGATATATGTGTTACGATTATTTATTTCGCTTGTTGTTTAATATAATATAACACTAACACCGACCTTTTTACTAAATTTATCTTCGAATTTAACTTTAACAATTCCATAAACCAATTTGACAATTTTCCTCCATATTTGTTTTATAAACACGTGATCAGGTTGGACAACATTAAGCACATTTCAAATGCGAGTTTTTCAGAGGCAAATTTGAAATAAAAAATTATTAGTTTCAACAGAAAGAATTTCGTAATCTAAAGATACAAAGGTTTTAGAGGGAAAACAAGGTACAATGCAAACCTACAGCAAATAATAATAAATATTGTACAATTTTTCAAAAATAGTAAGGCTTTGAATAAAACAAAAATAAATAGCATTTGTAATATGTATTTATATTATTAAACAATTACATACAATACACTGGTTATGAGTAACAAACAGAGTTGTGTACTGAAATATATAATAACTGAAGTGCAATTAATATGCTATATCAATATAAATTGTGTAAAGGATAAGGATTATTAGGTTGGGCAGTTTTTAGACTGATTCAACAGTTTTGTTGACTTTTTAATTACAGTTGGTTCTCTAGTATGTATTCTTTTTTCATGTTGTATTAATACAGGTTTTGTTTTGAATGTTTTATTGCATGTCTCACATTCATAAGGTCGTTCTTCACTATGCACTGATGAATGCAATTTTAAACTATTTATCTGTGTAAATCTTTTATTGCATATTTTGCACTCATGAGGTCGTTCTTCAGTATGAACTGATAAATGATATTTTAAACTACCATACTGTAAAAATGTTTTTTTGCATATTTTGCACTCATGAGGACGTTCACCAGTATGGATCAATGAATGCTGCTTTAAACTATGTGACTGTGAAAATCTTCTATAGCATATTTTGCACTCATAAGGCTGTTCTCCAGTGTGGACCAATTTATGCTGATTTAAGTTTGACTTTTTATTGAATTTTTTATTGCATAATTCACAAATATGAGGACGTTCACCAGTATGAATCAATGAATGCTGTCTTAAACTGCTTGACCGTGAAAATCTTTTATTGCATATTTTGCACTCATGAGGGCGTTCCCCAGAGTGTATAATTTCATGTCGGTTTAAGTTATGTTTTGTTGCAAACGGTTTCAATTTATTAGTTGTTTCACTTTTTCCTGAAACTTCTTCAAATTTGTTCGTACTATCCACTAAATTACTTGAATTACTGATCTCTTCATCACATATATAAGAATTTTCATCTAATACAGTTTTGTTTGTATTAGTCAAATAATCTTGGTCATCAATCGTCTCTTGTTTTATTCCCTCGTCAATTGTAACCTCAGATTTAAGAAATTGCTGCAGACATATATCATCATTATACATACACAAATCTGGCGTATTGTCGTATTCATCAAATTCCTGTTTCGCTTGAGGATAATCATCGAACGGTTCGGTTTTAATTGTTTTGTTAGAAACTGTTTCTTCAGACATGTTTGAGGTTTGTAGGTTATAATAAACAAACTGGTAATGAATTCTTAAAAATTCAGAAGTCTGAGTGTATAATAATAAATATGTTTCGATATTTGATCATTCGTTTATTATTTAATATGATATAATTCTAACACTGACCTTCTTGCTATTATTTTATCTTCGAACTTAACTTTAACAATTCCATAAACCACTTTGACAATTTTCCTCCATATTTGTTTTATAAACACGTGATCAGGTTGGACAACATTAAGCACATTTCAAATGTGAGTTTTTCGGCGGCAAAATTTGAAATCCAAAATTATTATTAGTTTCAACAAAAAACATAAAATCTGAGCATACAAACGTTTTTGAGAGGAAACAAATAAATATATAATATCTCCGGTCATGTGCTGCTTGGTCTTATTTTCGAGTTGTCTCGTAAAAGGATTTTGGCCGGTACCTTTCCAATGTGCGAAGCCATCAAACTGATCGTCCTGTTACTTTCTTTCTTCTCATATCATTGACTTTGCTTTTAAATATGACACGGTTCATTATCGTCACCGCCCACTTTTTTCTCTTTTTCGATCTCAACATTTTCAGGACGCGATTTTGTCAATGTATTTTTCCCACACGCTGAGAATTTTCTTGCGGTCAGTCACTCCATTTTCACTATTGTCTTTCATTTCGTTTCTTTTTTATTTAGTCCAATCCATTTTCTTTGTAACCGCCTGAAACATTAAATCGTGCCTATTTTGTTGAAGCAAAACTTCTTTAGGCGTGACTAGGGTGTAAATTCGTACAAATGCAACGGAAATAGTTCGAGCTGTACGTCTTTCGCTCTCGATGATATCATTTCTATACGGGTATGTGAATAGAGATCTGTCGTTGTATGCGTACCGATATCAACAAGGAAATCGGCTTAAATAAATAAACATTTTAAAGTTACATATTCGAGTTCTTCGAGGAATGTGCAATATTCCATGGTATGTTTCAAACCACACTATTCACAATGGTCTGAACATACCTTATAATAAAGATGTTACCAAGGACAAATGCTTCACTCTCATAACCATACAATTGAAAACCATCTTAACAAACTACTGCAACCGCTTCAAGATTTAAAAGAAACTGGTCCATAGATCTACTCGAGTAGATTTATTTTCTTTAAGAGGGTATTCTAGTGTAGAGCAATGAATTTTAGGTCAAATTTAAAGTGTCGTAAAAGAAAGCAATGAATATTTTTACTAACCATTTTTTTTACTAATTGTTCACTAATAATATTTAAATACAAAACAAAAATTAAACTAGCTGTAAGTGGAATTTTGTCTTAAGGCAATTAAGGCATCGTGTCTTAAGGCAAACTGCTGGAACTTCCCGTACCGCAATTCAAAATTTGAGTAATTAAAAATAATCAATAATAATCAATAAAAGTTGATCAATGATTTGAAACTTTTAATAGAATTTCGAACCATCATGTGCAAAAACATACCGTGTTGAAATAAAAACGTAATTTCTGAAATATATTCTAATTAATAAATAATATATTATATATATTATATATTTGTTATTAAAATATAATAAATTAAATAATACAATAATCAAATAATTCAAAAATATATTTTAACATTAGCATTTTCCAATAAATTAATTTCAACAAATGAGACTGATTATATTTTAATTAAAATGTGACTATAAATACTTAATTATTTTTTATTTGTCAAATTTTACTTAAAATTTAAAATGTTTACTTAAAATGATATAACTTTCATGAAGTACAAAGAAAATGGGAAATAATAAATAGAATTATATATACTGCGGAATATTGAAAACTATTCGTATTCATACTGAAATTTTATTTTATTTATATTTTTTATTGGCACCTCAGTCTTGACATGATTTCAGCCCTTCTAGCCATCGGAAATGCTAAAAATAAAAAGATTATTAATCTACAATGATGTCGCAATCGCCCGAACTAGCGATGAGTAAAAAACATTTATTTTACAAATTGGCGACTGTTTGAAAAAAAAGTGTTTTTTTACTGTTTTTGTGAGTTTCTCGAATTTTTTAAAAATAGTAAAAATTGGAAATTGGGGATAATCCTAATTCGGGCTATAGATAGGTCTATAAACAAGACTCTCTGAACATTTCAAGTGAATCGGTCGTGTAGAACTCGAGAAATCGTGTCAACCGTACTGAAAAAATCTGTTCTGAGTAAAACGCATTTAAAGTTTTGCGTGACGCCAAACCAGTATGGAGACCGAGTCAGTAAAATGACTATATCTCCGAAAATAATTCAAATTTTCAAAAACCTTCTCGTACCCATATTCTTAGATAGTTAAACTTTGAAAATATGCAATAAAAAACGATTTTTTTGAATTTCTACACTAGAATACCCCCTTAAATGTTCACTCAATGGAATGATCCTGATACTATTTATTATATCATTATCTCATTACTATTCTTATTATTATTACAGTTATGTGTATCATTATCATTATTATTTATATTATTATTATTCTTTTTATTAAATATATTTTTGGTTGTTAAATAATAGCAAAATAGCTTATAGAATTATATTTATTATATTTTGATTGCTGATTATTAATTAATAAAAAAAACTAAAAAAAAGTTAATTTTAGTACAAATCTTGATTTAATGAAAAATGCCTGAATCAGAAGAATATTTTACCCTGTTCTTTGAAAATAATAAAACAAATTAAACATTTGTGCCGTGTACAAAACGTAAGTTTATTGATTAGAAATTATTTCTATATTATTCGTAGTTTCTATAAATCTTTGAAGTTATTAAAATGGAAAATATTTTTTAGGCAAAACAGATATTACTGTTGGCTGTTCAAAGAATGAGATTATATCACCAACGAAAAAGTAAAAAAAAATACCATCAGTCAATGAATGTATGTTAATTTTAATTACATGATGAGTGAAGTTGCAAAAACAATATTTAAAACAATTCAAGACGATGTTAACTGAGCATATTAATAATTTAATCCATAATATAGATTTTTTCAACCCAAAAATTTTACATTTTGAAGAGAACGTAATTGAAAGAAGATTCGCAGAGGGGTTGTTTTTACAATTGCATAACCACAGAGTCATAAACAAACGCTTCGACAATACGACCCTGAACGAAACAAACACGTGGTTCCTAAATAGCGTGTCAAAATTTCTTTTCATTATTTCATTTCATTTCAAAATTAAGAAATTGGATTTTCTGGTGATAATCATAAACTCCTTTGGGAAGTTAATAATAATGAAAATTGTAGAATTTTAGAAAAAATAATAGGGCTTTGAATAAAACAAAAATAAATAGCATTTATACTATGTATTGATATTATTACATACAATTCACCGATTATGAATAACACAGTTGTTGCTGAAATATATATTAAATAAAGCGCAATTAATATCCTGTATAAATATAAATTAAGTAAATGGAAGGAATTATAAGATGGGACAATTTCTAGACTTATTCAACTAATTAGTTGACTTTTTAATTATAGTTTGTTCTCTAGTATGTCCTCTTACATGTCGCTTTAATACAGGTTTTGTTTTGAATGTTTTATTGCATGTCTTACATTCATAAGGTCGTTCTTCTGTATGCACTAATAAATGCTTTCTTAAATTACCTATCAGTGCAAATCTTTTGTTGCATATTTTGCACTCATGAGGCCGTTCACCAGTATGGATCATTTCATGTTGTTTTAAGCTATTTTTTGTTGTGAATGTTTTATTGCATATTTCGCACACATAAGGACGTTCTCCAGTATGAACTGATAAATGCTGTCTTAAACCATTAGACTGTAAAAATGTTTTATTGCATATTTTGCACTCATAAGAGCGTTCTCCAGAATGGAGCGCTTCATGTTGTTTTAAAATTTTTTTCATTTTGAATGTTTTATTACATATTTCACATGTGTAAGGTCGTTCTTCAGTATGCACTGATAAATGCTGTCTTAAATTACTTATCTGTGAAAATCTTTTATTGCACATTTTGCACTCATAAGGGCGTTCCCCAGTGTGAATCATTTCATGTTGTTGTAAGCCTTGTTTTGCTACAAATGTTTTACTGCATGATTTACATTTATATTTCAACTTACTAGTTGTCTTACGCTTTCTTGAAACTTTGTCAAATGTTTTGTTTGTACTATCGACTATCGTACTTGATTCACTGATCTCGTCGTTACATATGGAAAAATTTTCATCTAAAACAGTTTTGTTTGTACTAGTCACGTCATCTTGCTCATAAATCGTCTCTTGTTTTATTTCCTCGTCAATTGTAACCTCAGATTTTAGAAATTGCTGCAAACATACATCATCATCCATATACAAATTTGACGTATCATAATCATCGAATTCCTGTTTTACTTGAGGATAATCATCGAACGGTTCAATTTTAATTGTTTTGTTTAAAATTGTTTCTTCAGACATGTTCGAAGTTTGTAGGTTATAATAAACAAACTGGTGATAAGTTCTTAAAAATTGAGAAGTCTAAGTGTATAATAATAATTATGTTTCGATATTTATTAATTCGTTTATTGTTTAATATGATATAATGCAAACACTGACCTTTTTACTTCGAATTTTAACTTTAATAATTCCATAAACCACTTTGACATTTGTCCTCCATATTTGTATTATAACCACGTGATCAGGTTGGAGAACATAAACACATTTCAACTGCGAGTTTTTCGGCGGCAAATTTGAAATAAAAGATTATTAGTTTCAACAGAAAGAATTTCGAAATCTAAAGATACAAAGGTTTTAGAGGGAAAATACGGTACAATGCAAACCTAAAGCAAATAATAATGAATATTGTACAATTTTTCAAAAATAGTAAGGCTTTGAATAAAACAAAAATAAATAGCATTTGTAATATGTATTTATATTATTAAACAATTACATACAAGGCACTGGTTATGAGTAAGAAGCAGAGTTGTGACTGAAATATATAATAAATGAAGTGCAATTAATATGCTATATCAATATAAGTTGTGTAATGGATAAGGATTATTTGGTCGGGCAGTTGCTTGACTGATTCAACAGTTTTGTTGACTTTTTAATTACAGTTGGTTCTCTAGTATGCATTCTTTTTTCATGTTGTATTAATACAGGTTTTGTTTTGAATGTTTTATTGCATGTCTCACATTCATAAGGTCTTTCTTCACTATGCACTGATAAATGCTGCCTTAAACTACTCAGTATGAACTGATAAATGTGCTTTTAAATAACGTAAGCATGGAAATGTTTTATTACATATTTTGCACTCATAAGAGCGTTCTCCAGAATGGACAACTTTATGTTGTTTTAACATTTTTTTAATTCTGAATGTTTTATTACATATTTCACATGCGTAAGGACGTTTACCAGTATGAATCGATGAATGCTCTGTTAAACTACTTGAACTTGAAAATGTTTTTTTGCATATTGCGCACTCATGAGGACGTTCACCAGTATGGATCAATGAATGCTGCCTTAAACTACTTGACTGTGAAAATCTTCTATAGCATATTTTGCACTCATAAGGCTGTTCTCCAGTGTGGACCAATTTATGCTGATTTAAGTTGGACTTTTTATTGAACTTTTTATTGCATAATTCACAAATATGAGGACGTTCACCAGTATGAATCAATGAATGCTGTCTTAAACTGCTTGACCGTGAAAATCTTTTATTGCATATTTTGCACTCATGAGAGCGTTCCCCAGAGTGTATAATTTCATGTCGTTGTAAGTTATGTTTTGTTGCAAATGTTTTATGGCATGATTCACATTTATACGGTTTCAATTTATTAGTTGTTTCACTTTTTCCTGAAACTTCTTCAAATGATTTGTTCGTACTATCCACTAAATTACTTGATTCACTGATCTCTTCACCACATATATAAGAACTTTCATCTAATGCAGTTTTGTTTGTACTAGTCACATCATGTTGGTCATCAGTCGTCTCTTGTTTTATTTCCTCGTCAATTGTAACCTCAGATTTTAGAAATTGCTGCAGACATATATCATCATCCATATACAAATCTGATGTATTTTCACATTCATCAAATTCCTGTTTCACTTGAGGATAATCATCGAACGGTTCGGTTTTAATTGTTTTGTTAAAATCTGTTTCTTCAGACATGTTTGAAGTTTGTAGGTTATAATAAACAAACTGGTGATGAAATCAATCAATTAAATGTTGAGAAGTCTTTTAATTTATGTATATAATAATAAATATGTTTAGATATTTACTATTCGTTTATTGTTTAATATGATATAATGCTAACACTGACCTTTTTACTGAATTTATCTTCTAATTTAACTTTAATAATTCCATTAACCACTTTGACATTACTCCTCCATTTTGCTTTTATAAACAACAGATCAAGCTGAAGTTAAACACAAATCAGCTGTAAGTTTTTCGGCGGCAAAATTTGAAATCCGAAACTACGAGGGTCATGTAAAGAATAAGGTTCCCACATTTTTTTCAGGGTTGAGGCATTTTTAATTGCAATAAATATGTATGCCATCGAAAAGCTTGTATTTCAAAATATTTTTCTACATAATCGCCAGATTTTTCAACGCATTTTGAGTTTTCCACTTCTGTAAACCCGCTTCGAAGAACTCCGCCGCCACGCCCTTGCTCGGTCTTCTTCTCCGGCGATTTTGGATGGCTTTTTTGAGTTTTGTTAGTGTTTCGCATAGTGGACCTTTTAAGCATTAATTCGGTAAGCAAGACACATTTTCGGTCCCAAAACTCGATGGCCTCTCCCTGCACCGTTTGAGGACGTGCTGGACGCTGATGCAAGTTTTGCCGTAAACTTCTTCCAACTGTCTATGAATTTCAATAGTTGTGAGCTTCTTCGCGTTTAAAAATCGAATGACTTAACGGATTTCACATTTGCATATTGCTAAGATTCACAATCTAAAAAAAAAGAGTGCGCGTAAGAATCACACGCGATTGAAGTAAAACTTATTTGCTACTGTATAAAGTAGCAAATTTAAGTTGAGTAAAAATAAATACATCATATACTATTTTTGAATAATGTTAGTAATATGGTAACACTCGTGATGCACACATTTATTAGTGTCGTCAATCATTATACACATTTATATAATGATAAATTATAAATTATATATTTATGATTGTGAACAATAATGTAATCAAAGTCGTTCTTGCAATATGACATGATCGTTTTAAAGTAATTGCTGATTAATAAATTCTATAATATTCATTCACACAGTGGATTATATTAAACAACGCCTAAACAAATATTGTTTTTGCAAATTAACTCATCCTGTAACAATTGTGTTTTTACTTTTTCGCTGACGATATAATCACCTTGAACAGCTGTAATATCCGTCTTGCCTAACAAATTAAAGCCATACTTTTATATTTGTTTTATTTATTAAGCCCTGCACATAGCTTGATCTATGTATAGGTGAAATTAACCTTTCAGATACAGTATCTAGTTTAGGTAGATAATTTGGTATAGGTGGAAATACAAACCCGTTAAATTTACACAAAGTGGGAATTTTTCCAGAATTTAATGCCTTTTGACAAGTTTGACATCCAACCTGATTATTTGAATCAATATTCAGAAAACATTATTAAGAATTTGTTTTTGAGCATCATTTGATATTTCTAAGTCGCTTTGAAGCCAAAGTCGATCACACACAAAACAAACATAGCCAAAGCTATCATTTCTTACGCAGCGCAGATTTTTCCTTAGTTTCATTATTTATTTGCGATCATTTGCACTACAATTATTTATGGGGGACGGGATAAAATATTCTTCCGATCCTGACATTTTTATTAACTCACGAATTATACTGCTAACCCATGTCGCGCCAAAAGAAGTTTTACTTCAAAATATTGCCAAAAGCGTTAAACAATAAAACATAATACATATTATGAATAAACTAGTGGGGCGCATGGCAACGTGCCTTAAGGCTAATTGCTGGAACTTCCCGTACCGTAATTAAACATTCGAGAAATGAAATTAATCGATAATTGTTTTCAATAATTTCAAATAGATTATTTATTATAAATATATATTTTAAACTTAATTAATAGTTTAGAAAATTTTTCAAAATTTTGAAATTTTTTTAGAAGTTTAAAATTTTTTTTAAAAATTTTTGAAAACATTCGGTTTTTTAGAAAATTTCAAAATATTCTCAAATTTTTGTAAAAAATCTTTTTTATTATCTTGATTTTTTTTTAAATTTTTCAAAATTTAGTTCTTGATTTTTTTTTAATTATTTTCATTCTGCAATCTATAAAAATAATTATTTTTAGCAGAGAATGCTGACAAGTTGTTTACAAATTAGTATATACGCCACCAGATGGTTTCGTCTGGAAAGATGAAAAAATTTTTGCTTGTTTTATATTTGAAAAGGAAAAATTTGATTTTATTACACAACAGTAATGAATTTATTTCGATTACAAAAATGAAGTGTTTTTTAATTGAACTTCTCTAAGTAAATGATAGCGAATCCGAATTATCCGTTTCATTGAAGTGCTCTTTGGTAAACCACATTTTTTGTTTTTTGGTCTGACGTTAACACGAACAAAGCGGATGGTTTTCCAACTCGTGAACAGGCAACGTATAACTGCCCATGTGAAAAACAATGATTTTCTAAATAATCTATTTGAAATTTATCCCGCAAACACTAAGCGATTGGCCTTGCGACTTGTTATTGCGAACGCAAGGCGAACTGGAAATTGCAATCGTTTGAAGTCAAACGGAAGACCAGTCGGAATCATTGGTATGTCACCAAATCGCCAGCAATTTTTGATTGAATGGTGAAATTCAATTCAATCAAAAAAATTGCTTGTTGACTTAACCAAGCATAATTCTGAAAATTCTCACTAATGTCATTACTCGAATTTTTAATTACGGTGCGTCAAGTTCCAGCAACTTGCATCAAGGCACGATGCCATGCACCACTAATTTTCTTAGCTATAAACCTTGCGGAGCCCGAGACCTTTCCAACAAATGCAAAATTGTCGAAATCGGTTCGTGCGTTCTAGAGTTATATCGTCACGAAGGAAAACACGACTTATTTTTATATATATATATATATATATATATATATATATATATGTAGATAATTTATTTGAAATTCACGAAAATGATGAAACATTTCGGAAATTTGAATTTTTTTAAACTTTGTTGTTTTTTTTGAAAATTTTGAATTTTTTTTGAACATTTTCAAAATTACGAAATTTTCTTCAAGCAAAATATTTTTTGAATTAATTTATTCGGATGATCCGTTCTCTCAAAAACTGCTTAATCGTTTTTACACCCTTTGCGCTCCATACCCCCGAAACGGCAAAATTGCCTTTTGCAAAAACGCATCGCGATCAAGTACAAACCAAGATTTTTTATTCATACAAATCCGTTATACGCAAATTAAAAATCTTGGTATGCCAACAAAATTGACACAAAATGTGTGCACATTATTAAAATCTTTATGAAACATCTGATAATTTGATGTGTATATATCTAATGATCATTTTTGACCTCCAAAAGGCATTTTTTAAACTTATTATTATTGAAACTCCGAAACCACTAGACCTGCCTTCCTAAAAATTCATCAGTTCTCTTTTTCGTCAATATAAATAAAATGTTTTTTTGAATCATTCAAATCGAACGCTTCGTTCTCTCGTAAACTAAATTACCGTTTTTGGCACTTTTTGCCCCGTATCATCGAATGATACCGGAACAACTAGACCTGCCTTTGCCAAAAACTAATCCGCACATCTCCGTTCAAAGTTTTCTTCATTTGTTCAAAAATGACGGCATTTACACAGAATTTTGGGTTTGATATAGGAAGCCGCGAATATAGGAATTGGGTAAAAATTTTTTTGGCCGCGAATTGCAAAAACGCTAATAAAGAAGTTCTACTTAAACAGCATTTGCACTATGTATTTATATTATTAAACAATTACATACAATACACTAATTATGAGTAACAAACAGAACAATATAATGCACAAATTAGAATTAATATCTTGTATTCATTTTCACAGAGTGTTCTCTAGTATGTCCTTTTTTATGTCGCATTAATTTTTGTTCTGTTTTGTATTTTTTATTGCATATGTCACATGGATAAGGTCGTTCTTCACTATGCGCTGATGAATGCTGTCTTAAATTACTTGACTGTGAAAATCTTTTATTGCATATTTTGCACTCATAAGGTTGTTCTCCAGTATGAACTGATAAATGTGTTTTTAAATAACGTAAGCATGAAAATGTTTTATTACATATTTTGCACTCATAAGAACGTTCTCCAGAATGAACTGCTTCATGTTGTTTTAACATTTTTTTCATTCTGAATGTTTTATTACATATTTCACATGCGTAAGGGCGTTCACCAGTATGAATCGATAAATGGTCTCTTAAACTACTTGAATGTAAAAATGTTTTATTGCATATTTTGCACTCATAAGGTTGTTCTCCAGTATGAACTGATAAATGTGCTTTTAAATAACTTAACCGTAAAAGTGTTTTATTACATATTTTGCACTCATAAGAACGTTCTTTAGAATGGACTGCTTTATGTTGTTTTAACACTCTTTTCATTCGAAATGTTTTATTACATATTTCACATGCATAAGGACGTTCACCAGTATGAATCGATAAATGGTCTCTTAAACTACTTGAATGTAAAAATGTTTTATTGCATATTTTGCACTCATAAGGGCGTTCCCCAGTGTGAATCATTACATGTTGTTGTAAGCTATGTTTTGCTGTGAATGTTTTATTGCATGATTCACATGTATACGGTTTCAATTTATTAGTTGTTTTACTTTTTCCTGAAACTTCTTCAAATGATTTGTTCGTACTATCCACTAAATTACTTGAATTACTGATCTCTTCATCACATATATAAGAATTTTCATCTAAAACAGTTTTGTTTGTGTTAGTCACATCATCTTGGTCATCAATCGTCTCTTGTTTCATTTCCTCGTCAACTGTAACCTCAGATTTAAGAAATTGCTGCAGACATATATCATCATCCATAGTCAAATCTGACGCATCATAATCATCAAGTTCCTGTTTCACTTGAGGATAATCATCGAACGGTTCGGTTTTAATTGTTTTGGTAAAATCAATTTCTTCAGACATTTTTGAGGATAGTTTAGTTACAATAGACTAACTTTTGATGAGTTCTTAAAGATTGAGAAGTCTAAGTGTATAATGATATATGTGTTTTTATATTTACTAATTCGTTTATTGTTTAATACGATATAACACTAGCACCGACCTTTTTACTAAATTTATCTTCGAATTTTAACTTTAATAATTCCATAAACCACTTTGACTTTTGTCCTCCATATTTGTTTTATAAACACGTGATCAGGTTGGAGAACATAAACACATTTCAACTGCGAGTTTTTCGGCGGCAAATTTAAAATCAAAAATTATTATTATTTTCAACACAAAGAATTTCGAAATCTAGAGATACAAACGTTTTTGAGGATGAACAAGGTACAATGCAAACTTACGGCAAAGCTGCAATTCTTTTTTACCAAGTTTTAAAAACTACACTTGATTCGCAACACAATTCAAAAATGAAAGTTTGGATTTTGATATATATATATATATATATATATTTAATTATTTATATATTTATTAAAACAAACACATGAAACAATACTTTAAATGTACTATAGTTCTATATTCTGTCTACCACTTACACATATTCAATTTCAACCTTCAATGCAATTTATTTTCAATCAGAATCAATTCAAATTTATTCTAATCTTGTGCAGATTATTTTAGATTACATATTTGTATGATAGTTAAACGAATAAAAGCTATTTTTTTTGGAACTCACCTGGAACTCCAAGAGCGAATACATAACCTTAAATGGTCAAATACCAGTTTGATACCACTTAATAACTCAAAAGTATTGAGTTTAAACGTTTTTCTTACACTTTTATATAACAAACTAAATGCAAAAGGATTGTATTATTTCATTTTGTCAAATATTACATTTAAATGCAAAAGCACTAAATTTGTAATTTAAATGTACAAGCACTAAATATTCAATAATATAAAATATTATTAATTTGTAAATTTTAATATATATATATATATATATATATATTTATATATTGTATTTTATATAATATAATTAGAGCTTAAATAAAAAATAAATTATTTGAAATGACTTTGATTTGATTTGACTTTCAACTGTCAAATCGTCGCCATGTTTGTCAGTTTGAAGTGTCATACACTAACATGTAAAATAATAAAATAAAATAGTATTTTAAATATCAATACTATTTTAAATTACTTATATAAATGAATATAAGTATAATAATTTATATAGTTTGAATAAATATTTGTTATGAAACATTTTTTATTGTGACAGTTCAAACTGACAGTTGCCATGACAGTTTAAACAGAATTTCTTACGAAATTGTTTTTGTTGCACAATTTTATTTAAAAGCGTTGTATATACTATAATTGTGGCTGAATAAGTTTATAAACCAAAAATATATGTTCAGTACTACAAATCTTAAAGAGTGCTCGTTAAAAATAAGGTTTACTAAAAAAGTCTGTTATAGAAATGTCAAGACCGTTGACGTTTGACATTTCATAACTTTGTTATTGCAATTTATTACTATAATCCATTTGTTACAACATTATAAATCCCTTACCATGTCAGAAGAGTCCTATAAAAACTTCGTGAAAATCCTGAAAGAAACAGGAGCCACCGTAGACCCTGCCTACTTTCGTTGGATGTTCGATGACACAAGTGCTCCTGGACACAAACTCATCAACTGGATTGCAAACAACGTGACATCTGATAATTATTTAACACCAACCGAGAGACGTGAGTACGATGAACTGGTTGCTTCTGGTGAACTCCTGGATCAAACTGAGTTAGAAGCTGCCGTCAGCAGGATAGAAGACAAGTATCCAGGTATTTTTGATCACCTAGAACACAAAAAGATGATGAGTATTTGATGGAGCAAATAGAGTTCTATGAGAGTGAGAATGAGCGTTTGTCGAAGTGTTTAGATGCTTTGGACGATGTAAAAGAGAGTACAAAAGGGGTGAATGATTTATGTGATGCTGAAAAGGAGTGTTTCGAGTCTTTATCACGTTGTCATGATGCTAGGAATGAGTTACAGTATACTATGAAGCAGTTTCAAAAACAGTTTAACCAAAATATGTTTTTGAGTCAACTCGATATCGATTTTTTGGTGCAAAAAATACCAGAGTTTAGAACTCTTGTAAATTTGTACTTGGAAAAACAATTTCCCAAAGACGATCAGTGCGAGAAGGAAAAAACAGATTTGATAATGTTGTACGAACGTTTGATGAACACGATATACATGGATGTGTGTTACGAGGTGGAAGCGGAGGCTTGGAAGACTTGTATGGAGCGTTTGCCCAAGATACACGAACAGATAAAGTCTATTTCCAATATCGATACTGAAATACAGTTTGTTAAAATGTCTACGAGGAATTTAGAAAGGGAGGAGGAACGGTTTTTGGATGAAATCAAAGACTCGGCTAAGACTTATACGTTGGGTAAGTTGATGCAAGCTCAGTACGAGAGCAACAAGTGCACTTTGGCCAGGCGTAAGGCTTCGTTGGAGAAGTTGGAACGTTTAGAGGTGATTTTTAAAGACTTTTTATCCATGTATGAACTTTTGTGGCACTTGTTGAGCACTGAAGGTAGATTTATCAAAGAAGCACAAACTACATTTAAAGATGTACAGTTGAAGAGCAAAAGTGCACAAAGAGATGTAAAATTAAGATTATTGGAACTTAAAAATTTATGTACAAAAGACAGCACGAACAATAATTTGTGTGAGTGGCTTGTACGCTTAATGCAAAACCACGATATCACTTTTAAAAAACTAGAATCATCTGCAGACCTTGTAAGTCTTTTCACCAAACTTGAAAAAGACTTCGAAACAGCAATATATATGCACGAAGACCACCTGAAGAACTTAACCCAAGATATAAAAACATACAACAACTTTATTCTTAACAAAAACTCCATTATCTATTCCAACATATCGAGGAGCCCCATTACAACAAGTCCCTGTCACTACACTCTCTTTAAAAGTCGAAACGTTTTACAACAATTGGAGACAATGATTATGACCGAAAAGAATACTTTTACTCGCAAGAAACAAGCGCTGGAGCGCAACAAAGTTTTGGAGGCCCTTCACGATTTGTGGATCGATTTTCTGTGCGAGCCCCATAAGGTTCAGGTGCTGATTCAGAATGTTAAGGCTACGATACAAAACAGCACTAGGATGATTGATAGAAACCGAAGAAGATGATAAATGATAAATGAATTAATGATTTGTTGTATATATTTATATATTTTTCTAATTTTGAATAAATAAATAATAATAAATGCAATATTGAGTTTCATGTTTACAAGATTATTTTAACTTTGCAGAAACTTAGCAAATATTTTTTGAACTTCCTGAAGTTTGCTTTCGCCTGAAAATCCGAACCGTGTGTGTGTGTGTGTGTGAACAGATTCTTTGCCGTAAATCGACGTTTTCTCGAAAACGGCTGGGCCGATTTCAAAAATTTAAAAGCCGATCGATGTATCTCGACGAGGACTATTGTTTGTCAGTTTTGTGCGACGATCGGCTAAGCCGTTTCTTTATAAATCGCACAAACGTGAAAAATTTTTCGTCTACGTTTTAGCCTGCAATTCTGAACCGATTTTGAAAATTCAAAAACCGTTCGAAAGATATTGGTTGGGAATCGTGCTGATTAGTTTTTGGTAGAGATCGGCCGGGCCGTTCTCTTGTAATAAAGTTTTTTTTAAAAAAAATCGACGATTTTTATGATTATTTTTTTGACGGTAGATACCATAGTCTTCTAGATCATACTAAAATATTACGGCCCTACGACAAATGGTTTAGCTTTAAAAATTCGTCAAAGTTTGCAAAAATTGGTATCGTTTTTTTGACATTTGTCAAAATTAGACATTTGATCGACGTTTTCGCAAAAACGCCTGAACCGATTTCAAGCCATTCGATGTATCTCGATGAGGACTATTTTTTGTCAGTTTTGGGCGACGATCGGCCAAGCCGTTTCTTTGTAATTTGAAATAAAGTGTTAAACTTTTGATCCACATTTAAACTCATACTACCGAACTGATTTTAAAAAATCAAACACTGTTCGAAAGATATAAGTTGGGAATGACACTGATTAGTTTTAGATGAAAATCTACCGAGCCGTTTTCTTGTAATTAACTGTTGAAGAAAAAAATTAAGCCGATTTTTATGGAACTTTTTTTGGCGATACATATCATGGTCTTATAGAACTTACTGAAATATTACGGCCTTACGACAAGTAGTTTAATTTGAAAAATTCATCAAAATTTGAGAAAATGAGTGGGTTTTTATGACGTTTGTTAAAAATAAAATTAGATGATTTAGTTGGTACAACGATAGTGTACTTGGTCTTGAACATAGTAAACCATTAAAGTCCTGGAAACTGGTGGTTCAATTATAAAAATTATTGATTTGTGAAAATTTACTTTTAGAAAATACTCCGAGTTAACGTGTTCGTTCGTTTTCAATTATGTGTAATAAATCCACTCGGAATACTTTTAATCACTAATAAATTAAGTAATTTAGTTTTTATTGATTAAGTCGATTATTTACACATATCGGGAAGTTCATGTAACTTGCCTCAAGGCTAAATAGCAAACCAACTAGTTTATTTTCATTTCTATCAACCCAAAATCACGATCATTCGGTAGAAAGGAATGACCGGATACTTATATACATACATACATATTTCGCTTATAATAGGCTAACGAAACAGACAGTTTAGGATACGGAAGAGCCTTTTGCAAATCAAATGAGAATCCATAATATTCCATCGAATTTTCTTTTGCTTTTTTCTATATAATTTCTTTAAATTTTTGACTTAGACCACTTTCATAATTAACACTAAATGAATTCCATATAATGTTAAAATTACAACCACTATCTAATGGTTTATTTTTGACAATTTCGTAAAAATTACATTGAATACATTTAGTTTGAAATAATGTGGTATGAAATAACTGATAAACTCATTTTTTTTTTAATTTTGACTTAGACCACTTTCATAATTATGGGCACATTTATTTGTTCCTTCTCAAAAAGTTTTGTATCTTCAGATTTTATGTTATCTTTGTTGAAACTAATAATAATTTCGTATTTCAAATTTTGCCGCCGAAAATCACGCTGCTGAATTGTTGTTAACTTCAGCTTGATCTGTTGTTTATAAAAGCAAAATGGAGGAGAAATGTCAAAGTGGTTAATGCAATGGAATTATTACAGTTAAATTCGAAGATAAATTCAGTAAAAAGGTCAGTGTTTGCATTATATCATATTAAACAATAAACTAATTAATAAATATTGTAACACATATATTATTATACACTCAGACTTCTCAATTTTTAAGAACCCATCACCAGTTTGTTTATTATAACCTATAAACCTCAAACATGTCTGAAGAAACAGATTCAAACAAAACAATTAAAATTGAACCTATGGATGATTATCCTCAAGTGAAACAGGAATTTGATGATTATGATACGTCAGATTTGTATATGGATGATGATATATGTCGGCAGCAATTTTTAAAATCTGAGGTTACAATTGATGAGGAAATAAAACAAGAGACGATTGATGACCAAGATGATTTGACTAGTAGAAACAAAACTGTATTAGATGAAAGTTCTTATATATGTGGTGAAGAGATCAGTGAATCAAGTAATTTAGTGGATAGTACAAACAAATCATTTGAAGAAGTTTCAGGAAAAAGTGAAACAACTAATAAATTGAAACCGTATACATGTGAAATATGCCGTAAAACACTTGCAACAAAACATAACTTACAACGACATAAAATTATACACTCTGGGGAACGCCCTCATGAGTGCAAAATATGCAATAAAAGATTTACACAGTCAAGTAGTTTAACACAGCATTTATCAGTGCATACTGAAGAACAACCTTACACATGCGAAATATGTAATAAAACATTCAGAATAAAAAAACTATTAAATGAACATAAATTAGTCCATACTGGAAAACGCTCTCATAAGTGCGTATTATGCAAAAAAACATTTTCAAAGATAAGTAATTTAAGACGGCATTTATCAATGCATACTGGAGAACGTCCTTACGCATGCGAAGTATGTAATAAAAGATTCAGAATGAAACATGGCTTAAATCTACATAAAGTGGTCCATACTGGAGAACGTTCTTATGAGTGCAAAATATGCAATAAAACGTTTTTACGGTTAAGTGTATTAAAATCACATTCATCAGTGCATACTGAAGAACGTGCTTATGATTGTGAAATATGCAATAAAAAATTCAAAACAAAACAATCATTAACTCAACATAAAATAGTACATACTGGAGTACGCCCTCATGAGTGCGTAAGATGCAAAAAAACTTTTTCACAGTCAAGTATTTTAAGAAAGCATTTAGTAGTGCATACAAAAGAACGACCTTATGAATGCGAGACATGCAATAAAACATTCAAAACAAAACCTGTATTAAAGCGACATGTAAGAGGACATACTAGAGAACAAACAGTAATTAAAAAGTCAACTAATTATTTGAATAAGTCTAGAAATCGTCCCATCTTATAATTCCATCCATTTACTTAATTTATATTGATACAGAATATTAATTGCGCTTTATTTAATATATATTTCAGTCACAACTCTGTTTGTTATTCATAATCGGTGAATTGTATGTAATAATATCAATACATAGTATAAATGCTATTTATTTTTGTTTTATTCAAAGCCCTATTATTTTTTCTAAAATTCTACAATTTTCATTATTATTAACTCCCAAAGAAGTTTATGATTTTCACCAGAAAATCCAATTTCTTAATTTTGAAATTAAATGAAACAATGAAAAGAAATTTTGACACGCTATTTAGGAACCACGTGTTTGTTTCGTTCAGGGCCGTATTGTCGAAGCGTTTGTTTATGACCCTGTGGTTATGCAATTGCAAAAACAACCCCTCAGCGAATCTCCTTTCAATTACGTTCTCTACAAAATCTAAAATTTTTGGGTTAAAAAATCTATATTATGGTTTAAATTAATATGGTCAGTTAACATCGTCAGATAACAGAATAATATGTTTAAATGTGACAAAAGATTCTTACTTATTAACATCTAAAATGATACCTGGCTCAATATTTTCTAATAAATTGGCAGTAACCGATTATTTTCCTGCAGTTGTTTTGTTTCACAATGTAATCTTGATCTTTCAGAGTTTGTAAGAGGCTTTGAACCTGTTTCAATATTTATAATTACTATTAAAATAAATTAAAATTAGTCTTTATAGCCATCATAAAAGAGAGACATGTAAACTTACGTTAAATTTCCAATGAAGAAATAATGTTTCCACAATTTCACTCATCATGTAATTGTGTTTGTAGAACTTCATTATTAACTGCTTGTTTGTTTAAATATTTGAATATTTTTATAAAAATATTTTCCATTTGAGTAATAACCTCAAACGTATATAGTAACCTCGAAAAACTCGCATAATACAAATTACTTCAATAAACTTACATTTCTTACGCAGCGCAGATTTTTCAAATGTTTCTTTATTTATTTGCGATTATTTGCACTACAATTATTTATGGAGGACGGGATAAAATATTCTTCCGATCCTGACATTTTTATTAACTCAGAATTTATACTACTACATATTTAACCTTTGAAAGTTTTGACATAACACCGGAAATTTGAACAATATGCTTCACGCTTTCGGTGACGTACGCACGTATAAAGTCCCGTATAGAAATCATATCATCGAGAGCGAATGACACTCACTTCACGTTGGCGTAACAATTTCCGTTGCATTTGTACGGATTTACATCCATGTCGCGCCTAAAGAAGTTTTACTTAAAAAATAGTTGCCTAATTTACACAAAATTGGAAAAGTGCTCCAGTACATAAACAGTCTAAACGCACTTGGGTAAACATTTGTACCAGAGTGGCGCTTAGACTGTGCTTAGCCTGGGTGATTTTTTGAATTTTAATCCAAAATTACAAAAATATTTTATGGAAAAAAATGTAATAATTTTTTATCCTCAAAAGCAATTATTTTGTTGAAACAAACAGAAAGTTCTTTGAATCATTTAAATCGGACGCTTAGTTCACTCAAAAACTTCCGTTTTTTGCACATTTAGCTCCGTATCTCCGAAACGACTGGACTTGCCTTTACCAAAAACTAATAACCACTTTTCCCCGTCATTACGAACTGAATGTTTTTTGGATCATACAAATCGGATGATCCGTTCTCTCAAAAACTCGATTTCTATTTTCTGCACTCTTTGCTCCATATCTCCGTAAAGGCTGAACCTGCCTTTGCCAAAAACTAATCAGCGCATCTCCCTATAAATAGGGATCGAATGTTTTTTAAACCATTCAAATCGGTTCATCCGTGCGCCCGAAAACGTGGACGAAAAAGTGCGGAGATACTAAACCCACACATACATACATCCATTTAGTTTCTGAGGTATGTCCTTTAAAAATGTTCAGAAACCTCTGAAACGTGAAGAATTGCAAAAATTTTCAACTTCGATTTTCGGCCCATTACTGTAACTACCCTACGGGAAGTTAATTAATTTGTTTCATTTCGGATTCTGAAATGTATTTTATTTAAGTAACTGCAATCAGTAGCTGCATACAAAACACGGAACGTACTTATGCTTTGCATCGATTTCGAGTCGTCTATAAGCGATACTCGTACACACAGGTCGTCTAAAATGCGACATTTAATTTTGAACCAATAATAAATAAAAACAACAATATTTCACCCTCCGCAACAGACGGCGTTGCTTTTATTCGTCCAAACAACAATTTCTATATATATATATATATATATATATATATATATATATATATAAATATAAATATATATTATTTACGAATAATAATTATTATTAATATTAATTCCGTTTAAATACACATTATATCCATAGCTAAAATGAAAAATCTAAATTTATAAAAATATATATTGCATTTTGTAACATATGTAGGTACTAATTAAAATTATATTAACTATATTAATTAATTATCTTATAAACTAATACGACTATTAGAAATTAAAATTAAAATGAAATAAAAATAATCAGCTCGGGAAAAAGAAGATGATAATTGTTACAAGCGATGGATAAGATAAGATTAAAATTATATTTTATATTTAAGAGTCAAAATTGTATGAACCAGAATATATATATATATATATATATATATATATATATATATAAATTTGAAAATAATTAGCCACCTATTCATTGAATACAAGAAAAACATTCTTTGCACGTTTCGACACTTGATGTGTGTCATCATTCAGCAACACAAAAACTTAAGACTAAAATTAATTTAAAAATATATTTTTTAAAAATTAGTAATGAAACTCAATATATACATAACAAAATAATATATACATACATAACAAAAGAATAAATATTCAGCTCTGAAATAGCTTAATCAGCAAAATGCCAAATAAGCAAAATGCTAATTTTTCAAAAAAAAAATTAGTTGTTATTTTTTTATTAAATTTTTAAAAATATTTTTTTAAAAAATAATTAGTGTTTTAAGTTTTTGTTTTTGTTCTTGCTGAGTGATGACACATATTAAGTGTCAAAACGTATAATTAACAAAGAATGTTTTTCTTTTATTTAAATGAATAGGCTGCTAAAATTTTTCAATTTTATATATATATATATATATATATATATATAAAATTGTTTCTTGAGCATCCATCCAATAATCAAAAACAGTTTTATTGAAAGAAAATGTTTTTATTCAGAGAACATACGTTTCGGGCCTTAATTTGACCCATCTTCAGTGCAATAACACACGTAACACATACTCCAAGCTGACAACATGTTCGGTTGGAATAAGCTTTTTTATAATAAAATATTTTAATTTTACAATTGTTTAAAATTTATCATAACTCGACGTTTTATCAATTTTTTTGTTTCATATTTATTTTTTATTCGTGCAATTTCGTGTGTTTTTGCGGTTTTTTTCAAATTTATTTGTATGCACTGAAGATGGGTCAAATCAAGACCCGAAACGTATGTTTTTTTAATAAAAACATTTTCTTTCAATAAAACTGTTTTTAATTACTGGATGGATGCACAAGAACAATTTTATCATATTAGTTCACCATCTGAAGAAAAACCTCTCGCTTTATATATATATATATATATATATATATATATATATATTTTAAGTCCAAAAGTTTCATTATTTCCACGCCCTCATAATAATATTAATATTATATATTAATATTATTAATTAATCTAATATACGGCTTGTCCAGAAATTTCTCTAATATAATATTTATATATATATATATATATATATTATATTATTATCGATATTCTTAAAATATAATATTGGAATGAATTAAATAGAAAGCAAAACTTATTATTAATTATTTAATAATTAAATATTAAGATATTTACTAGTAAAGCATAATGATGCATGGACATACGACAAACCTATTAATTTTGTTTGACCAGTTAAATGTTAGAATCGACTCATGACGAGTATATACGTCAATAAGAAATATTAGGTTTAGTTTACAATATTTAAAAAATTTAATACTAAATTTTAAGCAAATATTGCAAACGTATTAAATTAAGAACGTCAGATTTTCAGTTAAATATTATACATATAAAAGTAAGGATATAATTTATTGCTATGGAGTGAAACAAACGTTGTAAAATATTATAGGCCTACGAAAAGTGGTTTGATTTAAAAAATCGTGAAAATTCGAAAGAGTACTTTTAGTTTATGCACCATATAGAGTAAAAAATGTAGAGAAATTTTCTAATAAACATAGTGATGTTTATTAGAACTTAGACTGTATAAATTTGTAAAAAAACTATATATATATATATATATATATATATATATATATATATATATGCACATGTCCATACATCATACATGATAAAAATATAATCGAATGAATAAAATTAATAAAATTGATTGTTGTAGGGATAGCGAATATAAACTACTTTCAACTAATATAAACTATATGTATATGCACAGTCAAAAATTATAATTATATATATATATATATATATATATATATATATATATATATATATATATATAATATATATATATATATATATATATATAATTATATATATATATATATATAATTATATATATATATATATATATATATTAGTTATTAATATTAATTTAAAATAAATTTTATACCTATGTTACTATATACAAAATACATGTACCATTCGAACTTTAAAAAATTCAGAATAAGTCCAGCTTTCCTGCGCCAGAATTTGCGTTTTATATTATTATTTATTATTAAATTAAAATTATTAAAATTAAATTAAACCTATATAACGAGACCATTAATAAATTACACGACTATTAATATAATAATATTAATAAAATTCAGAAAACAATAATTATCTCTAAAAATGTTTTATGATTTATTATAATGTAATAATAGCTAATGTTTAAGATAAACTTCTATATACAATTATTATTTTGATTCGTGGGGCTTATATTATATTATTTAATATTAAAAAATTTTGAATAAAATTTCTTAATAGTATGTTAAAATTTTAAAAGCACTTGTACATATATATTTGATAATAAGTTTTGAAGTCGATATAATTATATGATAATATATTAACTATAAATATCAAGCATATATATATATATATATATATATATATATATATATATATACAAATATATCTTGATACTTTTCCCATTACCTAACGACTATCTATGTACACGTATATGATTTTAGTACTTCGTTTGGGCTTTAATAATATTTATAACTTATATTTATAATTTAACCTACTAATTTAAAAATCTATCATTAGCCTTAATATTCTGTAATACGAGCAAAGATTATTTTTAACACTACATATTATGTAATCGAATAAAACAAAATAAAATATATTAATTTATAACGATAACATAATTAAGAAATCAAAGGGATAAAAAAACTTGATATTTATTCCCGATAGACTTGTGTAATAAATTTTAGTTTGATACGTTTTTAAGGGCAAGTTTAAAATAAAATTTGTAATTTAAATTATAACGTCTTTATGAAGTTTTTGAAGCTTTAATACCACCGGTTACATAAGTTTGTATTTTTTTTTTGTTTAAAACGCTATTTACAATTTTTATTCATATTTTATTATATATATGTATATATTAGGGTGGTCCTTAATATGGACATTTTCGAATTTCTTTCGAAAAATTAATACATATTTTTTTATTTTCCAAAAAATATTTTTGTAATTTTGCATTAAAAAAAATCAAAAAATTACCCAGGCTAAGCACAGTCTAAGCGCCACTCTGGTACAAATGTTTACCCGAGTGCGTTTAGAATGTTTATGTAATAGAGCAGTTTTCCGATTTTGTGAGAAAACTATTGAAAAATGTGAAAATGCCGCCAAGCTAAGCACAGTATAAGTGAAAATGTCGCACAGAATTATTTGCAAGTGCGTTTAGACTGTGACTATTTTTGAAATTGAATTCGAAATGAAATGACGATTGTTAATGTTCTGGAAATAATTTGATTTATGATTTATGATTTACATTTGATTCGCTCACTCGGATATAACAGGATAGCAAAAATAATGAGAGTTACAGTATTTGTGATAATATATTTGAGAGCGTTTAAAATTTAATTTCATGATGGTACGGGAAGTTCCAGCAATTTGCTTTAAGGAACCACTAGTTTTTTTGTTAATTTGGAAGCATTTAAGCTCTTGGGAGCATAATAATTTGAAAATATCCATATTAAGGACCATCCTAATATATATATTTTATATATTATCTTAATTCACCTCATAACTAATACTAGCCCAAGAGTTTTTTTGACAAATATTTTATCCACATTAAGGGGCACAACTAGTGTGAAATTTTCAAAAAATCGAATTTTCAATTTTTCCATATTTCGATAGGTTATACCTTTAAAAATAACATACTAAAATTTTAAATCGATATCTTAAATAGTTTTTGAGTTACATCCATTGGAAGAGTATATATATATATATATACAAGAGTATATATATATATTTATTTTAAAATAAATTTTTGTTGAGTGTTTTTGTCCTGTGGTGTGTATAATGTTTCTCTATGCTACAATTAATCTATATTGTTGTTTATATTAGTAATAAAATTTTCAAATTGTTGTAGTTGCTGAATGATGACACGCATCTTGTGTCGAAACGTATAAATAAAAGTATTTACACTTTATACCTTTTTTATTTCGACGAATGGGCTGCTAGTTACTTTGAAATATGTTTCAACGTCGAAAAAACTATCAAGATATATATATATATATATATATATATAGTATATATATAGTATATATTATAACGATCACTTAATCTTCAAACGCGTTTTTCGAAACATCATTTTCCGAATTTGCTGCAGCGATTACTCAAAAACAAATGATCCGATCACTATCGAATTTTTTTGCATGTTCTATATATAGTTCTCCGTAAAATGACCTATCGATTTTTTGATCGGATCAAAACTCAAATTTTGGTAGTCCCAAAACGATCAAAATTTTGGGTAAAATTCGACTTTTTTTTAAAAAACGCCGTCATTTGGTCAATTTTTGTTTTTTTTTCTTTATCGTAGTTCATTTTACAGACAATATTATCTAGTTTAACGAGAATTTTTTTTTAAATTTCATCCACGTAGAAGGCCGGAATCACTGCAGCCGTAAAGGGTTTTTTTTTTGTCGCGCCGTTGGAGATCGACGATAACTTAAAAAATATTTAATTTGTATATGAAAAATTTTACTGTGTATTCTTAAAACATGTATAAATATATTCCTAAAATTTTGATAAAGTAGTTTTTTTAATATAAATTCCCAAAAATCACCTTTTTTTAGGCGGTTACACTAGTTGTGCCCCTTAAGGACCATCCTAATATATATTTCAATATATCTTAATTCACCTCATAACTAATATAGGGTCCGTCAGATAACTTTTTTTTTGAAAATACTATATATAAACTATAAATATTTTCTCAATTGAAATCTTTTCTATTTGAAAGTGCAATCCTTCTGGTTAATAAATCATTGAAATGGCTGTCTAACTTTTTAATGGCTGTCAAAAATTTTAAATTGTTACCAATAAAAAATGTTATATGGCGGACCCTTCACTAGCCCAAGAGTTTTTTTGACAAATATTTTATCCACATTAAACAAACTATTAAAAAGTTTCAAAATCTATAATTACTGTACTACGTATTAGTACAGCCGGCTAATACGAGTTAATCCGGATCTCTAACCATCATTTATCTTTTCCCCTCGGTGACCTGCACAACGACCCCCTGGTTGACCTCAACCTTCTTCGACTTATTTTTGGCATCGACACCAATCATCTCTACCTCACTCACCTGCTGAACACCAACATCCAAAAGCTCTCCGATCTTACCTCCAATCGTGTAAACAGAACCAGGCCCTTCCAGCATCTCCTCCAAAGGATCGTACATATTAATAACCCCGTCCGGTTCCAGAGTCCCATCCGGATAATAATAATCGTACTCGACTTCAGATTTAACGTCCAGGGATTCCTCGTCGTAAAGAACGCCCATTTCGTCGTTCTTGTCGTACTTTTTCATCTTGGGCGGCGGCCAGGTGTCGTCGACGGGTAGGTCTATAAGGACGCGTTTTCTGGGCGAACCGTTGGCAGTCGTTTCGGGCTTCGATGCCCTTTTCATGATCACCGGATAGTCGTGATCCGAGTGGAAAGTGAGGAGGTCGTCCATGTTGAGATCGTCGTCGATGGGCTCTTCCATGTAACCTGGGGAAGAAAATAGGATGATCAACACTAGATCATGGGGAACAAATACGTTTTACTTAGTATGAGTGTTTTTGGCATATCACAGATGGTGCTAATGTACTTTAAATTCAGCGTTTGTTTTAAAACTTTAAATATAGTACACATACTTTAAGCGTTCAAGTACGAAATTTATATATTGAAATGTATCTTTTTAAATAAAAAGATACATTTCTTTAAATATCTTTTTAAATAAAAAAAAAGTTTAATTTGTTATTATACATTTTTTACAACAAATTTGTGATTTTGTTGAAAATATATATTTTATACGCGTATATTTTGTTCACATTTCATTTAGTCAAATTAATCAGGATCATCTTTTCTATATGATCTTCTTATATATAAATATGGAGCTCATAAACATTGCAATATTGTAGAAATAAATGGAAAAAATTGCAAAAAACGACATGTCATTGTTTGCATTGAAAACAAATGAGAACTGTCATTTGCCAAAAATTTCAATTTACTTATGAGCCTAGACAATATTAGAATATGTATAATAAATTTACGATTATGAATAAGAAAAATGAAATGTCAACACATTATTATTGCCAAAAAGCAGCTGAGATGTGTCAGAAATTAAAATAATATAAGATGCAGTATATGTATGGCAGATTGAATACATATATGAACAGGATTTGGCTTGAATTAATTCACTTAAAATATGAAATTAAGTATTAATCAGGGCCAACAAAAGATTCGAATATGAAATATTTAATATAGTTTTTTTTCAATATAATTCAATAAATATATAATTTCTTTGCTACTTTTACTAATATTTGCACAATATTTTTAAAATACGTTGAAATTTTCACTTTAAAAATACAAATGGAAAGGTAAACATGAATACATATGATTTGGCTCTTACGATATCAATTAGGAGAAGTTTAAGATGCAATTTTGGATATCTTGAAGAATAAAAAATTAAATTAAAATAATCCAATATGAAGTACCAGTGTTATGTTTAATAATGAAAGACTACAATTTTTTTGCTCTCTATGATTTGCTCAATAGAATAAAACGCATAAACTGTTCAAAATATATAAGTAAAATGTTTCAAAAGCCAAATATTAATTAATGATAATAATTTTAATAATAAATGGTTAAAACAGGAAAAATAATAGGGTAATTATAATATCTGAATCACATTTTTCTTAGTAATATATAAAATAATTAATTTGATTATTTAAAGCTTATTTTTTCAAAAATAGCAAATACTATTTAAGAAAGCAATAAAAATTAATTTGATTTAAATGAACCAATTTTTTGTATAATTATAAAAGCATAAGTAATTTTGGCAAAATAGGGTTTATGACAGGCGTTTTTGTTAAAATTTTTGTTATTTTTCGTCGAATTTTTTAATGTAAGAGTCTATTTGACCGCCTTCAGAATTTTGAATTCAGCAATATCATAACGTATTCATAACTTATTGTTACGTACATAGATTACGCTCAAATGAAATATTTTCAGATATTTAATGTGATAGTTGTAATTTTATTAATAAATTTCGGCGAAAATTCAATTTAAGTGTATATTTTTTGAAAACCGGAGACAATCCGGGACAAAAAATCTAAATCCGGGACAAATAATGCTTTTAAAAAAAACCGGGACACAAGGTGAAATCCGGGATTGACGTATGGTCACCTTATTACTAAAAACCAGTTAAAATATTATACGAGATTATAAAATATAGGCAACATTATTGGAGCAATTATTTTGAGTGAAAAAATCCAAGGTAATATTGTACTTTTACCGCGGATACTATAAATTATTAATTCTTTCTGAATTTGTTATACCGCTTAAAAGACTTCAATTTCAATTTTCAAAAGTACCAGTGTTATGTTATGGTTATGGTTATGTTATACCGTTTAAAAGACTTCAATTTCTAATATAGTTGTGGGAATTGAGACTCATCATTTTATTTAAAGCAGTTCTACATTTAACATCGCTCATATTATCTTTTATATATATATAAAAATGAGTCGGGTTTTCCTTGCTGACGAAATAACTCCAGAACGCACGAACCGATTTCGACGATTTTGCATTCGTTGGAAAGGTCTCGAGCTCCGCAAGGTTTATATCTAAGAAAATTAGTGGTGCATGGCATCGTGCCTTAATGCAAATTGCTGAAACTTCACGCACCGTAATTAAAAATTCGAGTAATGACATTAGTGAGAATTATCAGGATTATGCTTGGTTAAGTTAACGAACAATTCTTTCCGCAAAGTATAATGATGTACACGCACTGAATTTCACCATTCAATCAAAAATTTCTGGCGATTTGGTTTGACTTCAAACGATTGCAATTTCCAGTTCGCCTTGCGTTCGCAATAACAAGTCGCAAAGTCAATCGCTTAGTGTTTGCGGGATAAATTTCAAATAGATTATTTAGAAAATCATTGTTTTTCACATGGGCAGTTGTACGTTGCCTGTTCACGAGTTGGAAAACCATCCGCTTTGTTTGTGTTAACGTCAGACCAAAAAACAAAAAATGTGGTTTACCAAAGAGCACCTCAATGAAACGGATAGTTTGCAGATTCACTTTCATTTACTTAGAGAAGTTCAACTAAAAAACACTTCATTTTTGTAATCGAAATAAATTCATTACTGCTGTGCAATAAAACCAAATTTTTCTTTTTCAAATATAAAACAAACAAAAAAATTTTTCATCTTTCTCACGAAACCATCTGGTGGCGAAACGGAGTTCGTCGGGTTTGCTAGTAAATGTATAAACATTTTGGCGTGAAGAGTAATTTAAAAAACAATAATTATTATTTTCAGGTGAACGGTAAATATTAGTATGGGATATTAAAAAATTGTTGACGCCAGTACAGAACACAGTCTGTTGGGTCATCTAGTATATATATATATATATATCTTGATAGTTTTTTCGACGTTGAAACATATTTCAAAGTAACAAGCAGCCCATTCGTCGAAATAAAAAAGGTAATAAAGTATAAAAACTTTTATTTATACGTTTCGACACAAGATGCGTGTCATCATTCAGCAACACAGGACAAAAACACTCAACAAAAATTTATTTTAAAAAATTGAACTTAATAACAATTAGAAAAAAACATTTTTTAGAAAAAATTATGTATAACTAAAAGATTTGAAAACTAATTTGACTAAAAGTTATGAAATGCATAATTGTGAAGCGAGAAACACGCCCATACCGAGCATCCAGACTCGACTCAACACTCATCCACTCTCGCTTCACAATTATGCATTTCATAACTTTTAGTCAAATTAGTTTTCAAATCTTTTAGTTATTCATAATTTTTTCTAAAAAAATGTTTTTTTCTAATTGTTATTAAGTTCAATTTTTTAAAATAAATTTTTGTTGAGTGTTTTTGTCCTGTGTTGCTGAATGATGACACGCATCTTGTGTCGAAACGTATAAATAAAAGTTTTTATACTTTATACCTTTTTTATTTCGACGAATGGGCTGCTTGTTACTTTGAAATATGTTTCAACGTCGAAAAAACTATCAAGATATATATATATATATATATATATATATATATATATATATATATAGTATATATATATATAAATCTTACACTTGTCTATTTATTCTATATATGTATCTTTTCCTACCTTGAGCGTTCGTGTACAGAAGCGATCTTCTGGTCGAGGCCATCATATTTTCTCCTCTCTGCTGCGCCTCCGACTGCTGCCGCTGCTGCGCTGCCAGTTCCTGCTGCGAGGCGACGCTGGTGCCGCCTGGACGCAGGGACGGAACTGCTATCAAGGCCATACTCAGCAAGAGGACCATTAGGCAGGTTGCAGGCTGCGTTGTCTTGTTTGTGCCCTTTGCCAACATAGACTAGAGGAAAAAAGAAAATAGAAAAAAAAAACTAGTGGTGCATTGGTATTTTGCCTTAAGGCAAATTGCTGAAACTTCCCGTATCGCAACGAAATGTTCGAGGAATGAGAATAGTCACCAATCAATGAAAATTACTCAATAATTAATTACAATTGTTTTAAATATCTTCACATAGATTATTTATTATAAATACTGTAAATTTATTATAAGTGCTTTTGTGACAATCGTATTCTAAAACTAGTTGGTATTAGTATTTTGCCTAGAGGCAAGTTACATGAACTTCCCCGATATGTGTAAATAATCGACCTAATCAATAAACTATAAATTAATTTATGAGTAATTAAAAGTATTCCGAGTGGATTTATTATATATATTTGAAAATGTACACGTCAACTCGGAGTATTTTCTAAAAGCAAATTTTCAAAAATCAACAATTTTTATAATTGAACCAGTTTTTTGTAGGACTTTAATGGTTTAGTATGTTCATTAAAACCAAGTACTCTATCGTTACACCAAGTAAATCGTCTAATTTTAATTTTAACAAACGTCAAACAAACTTAATCATTCTCTTAAACTTTAATGAATTTTTAAAATTAAACTACTTATCGTAAGGCCGTAATATTATAGTAAGTTCTATAAGACCATGATTTATATCGCCAAAAAAAGTTCCATGAAAATCGCCTTAAATTTTTTTTCAACAGTTAATTACAAGAAAACGGCTCGGTGGATTTTCAACTAAAACTAATCAGTATCAATCCCAACTAATATCTTTCGAACGGTTTTTGAATTTTTAAAATGGATTCAGAATTGCGGGTTAAAACAAGGACAAAAAAATTTTCATTTTTCTGCGATTTACAAACGGCTTGGCTGATTGATAAACGCTAGTCCTCATCGAGATACACCAAATGGTTTTTAAATTTTTAAAATCGGTCCAGCCGTTTTTGATAAAACGTCGATTTACGGCAAAAAAATTGTTCACACACACACACACACATACATACTTTTTCCAAATGTTGGTCTCATTCGATTCAGAATGGCTTGAAACGTCGAGAAAACATAAAATTAAGTTAAAAACTACGTATGTGTATGTTTTCACAAGAAATTTGTTTAATTTTTTTTAATTTGATTTTTTTTAAATAATTTTGGATTTTCGTCAAAATTTTAAAATTTGTTTGAAAGTTCAAATTAAAATAGAGTTTTTCCGATATATTCTAAAATTTTTGTAAGAAATCGATTTTTTGAAAATTCTGATATTTTTGTAATTTTTCAAAATTTTTTATTGCTATAATTTATTTTTGTTAATCGAGACTTTAATGTCTTACTTACAATTGATAGGTGCAATTTTGAAAATAATGAAAAATTTCGAAGGTTTGAATTTTTTGATACTTTAATTTTTTTTTTTTGAAAATTTTGAATTTTTGTTTCAAAATTTTTCGAAAATAGAAATTTTCTGTGAAAGCATCTTTTGCACACCGTCTACAAAACAAAATGTTTTGTTTAATTATTCCAATCGGACGCTCTCTTCTCTCAAAAACTGAAATACTATTTTTTGGCACTTTTTGCCCCGTATCTTCGAAACGGCTAGACCTGCCTTTGCCAAAAACTAATCAGCACGTCTCTTTATCAGTAAAAATCGAAGATTTTTTAAATTATTGAAATCGGTTGATCCGTGTTCCCGAAATCGCCGACAAAAGTTTGTATCCGCACACACACACACACAATTCCATTTTTTCTAAGGTTCAGAAACCTCCAAAACGTGAAAATACATACAAATTTTCATTTTCGATTTTTTTGCGATTACTGTAACTTACCCTACATGAAGTTAAATAACATTAATGATGCGAGTTAAAGTTGGTACTTACATGTAACTTTCTCAGCTGAGTAGCCAACGATTGGTTTTGATTTTGCAAAACTTTAATCCTCTTCATCAAGGACTGATTTTCTTCAGTGCATTGTTTCACCCTGCAATATTCACAAATTAGAAGAAGAATGAAAATTGAATGGAAGATTAGGATATAAGAAGAGATAGTATGTATATGATGAATGTATAAGAAATATATATGTAAGAATTGTATAGAATATGATGAAGATTAAATTGAATAATGTATGTGGCTAAGAATGCTGTAAAGCGGAGGCCAATAAAATTTAAAAAAAATTAACATATTAAATCCAAAATATTCCTTACACAATCTCCAATCTCCAATATAATCCTTTATTACCTGTCTTCCAATCCATCGACGTATTCCTTCTTGCGTTTCCTCGAATCCTGGGCGCTGATCTTGTTCCTGATTTTGCGCCTGATGCGTTTCAGTTCGCGCTCTTCGTGTTTCGTGAGCGGATAATTCGATGGTAGGGTGATGCCTTCTTTTATTAGCAGTCTTTGCTCCTCTGCCGTCAACACCAGACGAGGGTATGCTGATTCACCTGGGGTAGAAGATAATTATGGTCAATTTGTTATGAAACTAGCTGTAAGTGGAATTCTGTCTTAAGACAATTAGGGCATCGTGCCTTAAGGCAAATTGTTGGAACTTCCCGTACCAAAAATTATTATTTTTTCAAAAACGATTAACACATTTTTGAAAAAATTTTACTTTGAAAAAATTAGATTTTTGAGAAACTATAAATTTGACAAAAAATTACTTTTTTTGAAAAAAATTTTTTTTTTGAAAAAAAAATGTTTTCTTCATTTGGACATATTTTGGAAGATCTGAACTTTTTTTTCAAAGCAATCGTACTGCTTTAACTGCATAGAGACGAAATACCGAAGCGCGTAAGTGCCGCGCCGCCGTCTAACGAATAAGCATTGGTACGGAACCCATAGGAATGTAAACAAAATTTATACTTATTGTTAAAATCTCTATAAAATATCTGATAATTTGATGTGCACATGCCTAATGATCATTTTTGACCGCAAAATGGCATTTTTTTACTTTTTTTACTAGAACACCGAAGCCGCTAGACCCGCCTTCACGAAAATTTGATCAATTCTTCAACTTGTCAAAACAAGTGAAAAGTTTTTTGAATTATTACAATCGGACGCTCCGTTCTCTCTTAAAAACTGAGTTACCATTTTTGGCACTTTTTGCCCCGTATCTTCGGAACGGCTAGATCTGCCTTCGCCAAAAATAAATCAACACATCTCCTTATCAATACGAATCGAATGTTTTTTGAATTATTTAAATCGGTCAATCGGTGTTCCCGAAATCGTCGACGAAAATTTGTATCCGCACACACACACACACGCATACACACACACACATACATCAATTTTTTCTAAAGTATACCAAAATACTCAGAAACCTTTAAAACGTAAAGATATATAAAATATTTCATTTTCGATTTTTTGCGATTACTACGGGAAATTAAAAAAAATTGTACCTCATATACATTTCCGACTTCAAATTAGTCTTATGCAAAGTATTTATATCAGAATGTATAAATCTAATAATACAGAATTTTTGTAAATTTTATCTCCTTTATGCTAAACTAACAAGAAAAGCATGCCTAGAACTAAATGTTAGTTTTTTTTTTAAAGAATTGTCAAAAAATGTTCCTAATATTACTCTGCAAATTTGTAAGTCTTTGAACTAGTGCTATTTAAAATGTTTTTATTGGGATATATAAACATAATTATGCAGAAACAACAAAATATTAAGTTATTTAACAAAATGTCCCAAATATCATCAAAGTTTATATTATTAACTTCCCGTAGGGTAGTTATAGTAATAAGCCGAAAATCGAAAATGAAAATTTATGCATTTCTCGACGTTTTGAAGGTTCCTGAACATTTTATTGGCATACCTCAGAAACTAAACGGATGTGTGTGTGTTTTGTATGTGTGGCAAAGGCAGGTCCAGCAAGTACGGAGATAACGAGCAAAGAGTGCAGAAAATAGAAATCGAGATTTTGAGAGTACGGAGCATCCGATTTGAATGATTCAAAAACCATTCAATTCGTAATGATGGGGAGAAGTGACGATAAGTTTTTGGCAAAGGCAGGTCCCGCCATTTCCACGTACGTACATTTTGTGCAAATTAGGCAACTATTTTTTTTTGAAATTGAATTCGAAATGAAATGACGATTGTTAATGTTCTGGAGATAATAAAATTGACTTATGATTTACATTTGATTTGCTCAGATATAACAAGATAGCAAAAATAAGGAAAGTTACACTATTTGTAATAGTATATTTGAAAACGTTAAAAAAAATTCGAATGTTTCATTACGGTACGGGATGTTCCAGCAATTTGCCTTGAGGCACGATGCCATAGTAATTACTAGTGGTGTATGGCATCAATTTAAAGTGACAATTTTAAATTAGTTTTATTGCGATTACTATAACTTACCCCAGGGGAAGTTAAAAAGATAAACAAGTATTATTATCCCTACTTACCTTCTTCTTCGTAATGCTCATCGTACAATACAGAGTCATCACTGTTGCAGCCTTTCTCACTAAAGGAATCATCTGAAACAGAAAAAATACAGCATGAGAATCAAAATCAGCAGCAACTATGAATATATTTCCTATTTCCTATTACCTAATCCAAGTTGTTGCTGCGTCAAAACAACATTATTCTTCAACAACCCCTGCTTCCCCTGCTGCAGAAGATTAGCAGCAGCCAATTTGATCCCAGCAGACGTCTTCTTCAACCCCGAAGCGTTTATAATTTTAATAGTCCTCAAATCCTTCATATCCTTGATGGTGACAGGCAAAAGGATCGACCTGGGGTTGTTTGTGTTTCCAGAATTGACAGTCGACAATCTGATGACTTTCCTGACGTTCTGGTTGTTTGAAGATGATGATGATGATTGGTTCATATTCGGTGCAGACGATATGGTGTAGGTGTTGGTTCCTGAATTACTTTTGGTGATGCCGTAGTTTTGCTTTCTGCCATACTGTAGAGGTTTCTGGGATTGGAGGTTTATGATTCTTGGTGCTGATTGGTGATCTGAAAATTAGAAAAATGGCAAAATGGTAAAAAATATACAAAATAACTTTGTTACCAACTGGCCAATGGGTAGTCCAACAATTATGAATAATATTTATCATATTACTTTCAGATAAACAACGTCCTCATTAAATTCGACTGCTTGCATTCTCCAAATTATCTACTACTAGTAATCTACTATTTCTTATCAGTTCAGTTCATGTGAGAGAATGCAGATATATTTTTAAACTATAATTAGAATTTGATAAACAACTCCGGGGCAAATTTGTCTAGAGGAAATCGGGCCAAAAAGTATCAAAAATTAGTGGTGTATGGCATCGTGCCTTAAGGGGGTATTCTAGTGTAGAAATTAAAAAAAAAAACGATTTTTTTAATTTCATATTTTCAAAGTTTAACTATCTAAGAATATGGGTACGAGAAGGTTTTTGAAAATTTGAATTATTTTCGGAGATATAGGCATTTTACTGACTCGGTCTCCAAACTGGTTTGGCTTCACGCAAAACTTCAAATGCGTTTTTCTCAGAACAGACTTTTTCAGTACTGTTGACACGATTTCTCGAATTCTACTCGACCGATACCCTTGAAATGTTCAGAGAGTCTTGTTTATAGACCTATCTGTAGCCCGAACTAGCATCATCCCCAAATTCCGATTTTTACTATATTTAAAAAATTCGAGAAACTAAAAATAAACAGTAAAAAATACACTTTTTTTCAAACAGTCGCCAATTTGTAAAAAAAAAATTTTTACTTATCGCTAGTTCGGGCGATTGCGACATAATTGTAGATTAATAATCTTTTATCTAGGAGGGCTGAAATCATGTCAAGACTGCGGTGCCAATTTTTTAGACCCCTCACTTCATCAGCTGCCAGTTTCTTCAATTTTCAAATTTTTTATTTTTTAATTTTTGTTTTGTATTTTAATAATATTAATAAACAAGTGGTAAAAAAATGGATAGTAAAATCATTCATTGCTTTCTTTTACGACACTTAAAACTGACCTAAAATTCATCGCTCTACACTAGAATACCCCCTTAAGGAAAATTGCTGGTACTTCCCGTACCGTAATAAAATATTCGAGAAATTTTAAACGTTTACAAATATATTATTACAAATACGGTAAATTTCATTATTTTTCCTATCTTTTGTTATATCTGAGCAAATCAAATGTAAGTTATAAATAAATCAATTTATCTACAGAACATTAACAATCGTCATTTCATTTCATTTCGAATTCAATTTCATTCTAGAGTAATAGTTGCCTAATTTGCACAAAATTGAAAAAGTGCTCCCGCATAGTCACAGTCTAAACGCATTTGCAAATAATTCTGTGTGACATTTTCACTTATACTGTGCTTAGCCTGGCGGCATTTTCACATTTTTCAATAGTTTTCACAAAATTGGAAAAGTTCTCCATACATAAACAGTCTAAACGAACTTGGGTGAACATTTGTACCAGAGTGGCTCTTATACTGTGCTTAGCCTGGGTATTTTTTTGAATTTTTAATCCAAAATTACAAAAATATTTTATGGAAAATAAAAAAAGATGTTAGAATATTTTATCCTCAAAAGCAATAGTTTTGTCAATACAAGTAAAAAGTTTTTCAGATCATTAAAATCGGACGTTTAGTTCACTCAAAAACTGCCATTTTTTGCACTTTTTGCTCCGTATCTCCGTAACGGCTGGACCTGCGTTTGCCAAAATCAGCACATCTCCCTATCAATAGGGATTGAATGTTTTTTAAACCAATCAAATCGGTTGATCCGTGCGCCCGAAAACGTGGACAAAAAAATGCGGACATACAAAACACACACACACATCCATTTAGTTTCTGAGGTATGCCAGTAAAATGTTCAGAAACCTTTAAAACGTCGAGAAATGCAAAAATTTTCATTTTCGATTTTCGGCCCATTACTATAAGGGGGGAGGCTGTTGATTTGCTTATTTTGGGTTGACATGAGGGGCAGGGGAGTCTGGATGATGATTACGTCATAGGTAGTATTTTTTTTTTAGCGAATGGCAACCTTACATTGTCTTCGCCAGTACCAAAAATTTAAAATAAGCTTGTTATGTTCATAAGATCGTAAGATTATAATAATTTTGTTACTCTATGTTGAATACCATATCAGTAAAACCTCTACATTCTAAACCTATTTTCTTATTTTTTAAATTATAATTATAACCTAATAATTACAATTTTTTAAAAAACAATAAATTAATTGCAAAATGTTTACGTAAGCATGGGGGTAGGGGGTAAGAGCTTTGCTTACTTTTGCTGAAAAGGGGGATGGGGGTGGGTAAATAATTGTAATAAATATGCTTACGTAATACTTGAACGTTCCCTAACTACCCTACGGGAAGTTAATTATTACTATCATATTCTACTAACTTCTATTTCTGGACCTCTTCTCCGGCGTGACCTGTATGCTCTCGTTAACAGAACTGCACATATCATCAGAATCTCCCGAAGAACCAGATGTCAACACAGAGCTGGCATGATCTGGTGAATATACCACACCTACTTCACTGACTGAAGGCCCTGGGCTGGACACCGCCGGACTGTAGGCTGGACTGATCTCTTCGTCTTCGTCCAGAGGAATGATTCCATTGGTGCAATCGATTTGGGGAGCATCGACCACATCACTAAAAAATAAAGGACACATAAATTTCTGAAATCGAATACAAAACAAAGCAAGTCTCCTTTAAGGTTTGTCGGTTTTCAAAAACCGTTTTTTTGGCGAATATTATGTAATTCAAAAACCGGTTTTTTAGTGAAAAAAGTCGGTTTTCACTGTATAAATGGAAAATTAAGCCAAATATAAAAGATAGATGAAAGCGTTTTGATCCTTGAAATCATATCGTTTCAATAGCATTTCATATCTTATAAGTCTGCAATGGTTCCCAGAAAGGTTTTGTATATATTAATTTAGATTTTCATAGCAGTGTATATAATAATTTAAGTCAGTCTTGAAGTAACTTTTCCTCTACTCAAACTTAAAAAAAGAGTTTTAAACCCTAGAAGCCACAAATTAAAGAACAAAAAACTTGGAATTATTATATCAGGCTTTAAAAACAGTTAAGCATAATTTGGTCGCAACTATGAGAGTATTTTCTATTTCAGGAATTTTTGTGAGTAAACAAAGGACACGTCAATGTAGAAATTCGATATATATTCCCAGTTTTTTTAAATCGTATTTTATTAAACAAACTAGTTGGTTTGGTATTTAGCCTTGAGGCAAGTTACATGAACTTCCCGATATGTGTAATTAATCGACTTAATCAATAAAAAATCAATTAATTTATGAGTGATTAAAAGTATTCCGAGTGCATTTATTATACATATTTGAAAACGAACAAACACGTTAACTCGGAGTATTTTCTAAAAGCAACTTTTCAAAAATCAACAATTATTATATTTGAACCAGTTTCCGTAAGATTTTAATGGTTTAGTATGTTCATTAAAACCAAGTACTCTATCGTTATACCAAGTAAATCGTCTAATTTTAATATTAACAAATGTCAAAAAAAACTACTCATTTTTTTAATCTTTGATTAATTTTTAAAATCAAACTACTTGTCGTAAGGCCGTAATATTACCTTAAGTTCTATAAGACCATGATATATATCGCTAAAAAAAATCCATAAAAATCGGCTTAAATTTTTTTTCAACAGTTAATTACAAGAAAACGGCTCGGTAGATTTTCACCTAAAACTAATCAGTATCATTCCCAACTAATATCCTTCGAACAGTTTTTGATATTTCAAAATCGATTCGGTAGTATGAGCTTAAATGTGGACGAAAAGTTTAACACTTTTTTTCAAATTACAAAGAAACGGCTTGGCAGATTGTTGCACAAAACTGACAAACGATAGTCCTCACTGAAATACATCAAATGGCTTTTAAATTTCTGAAATCGGTTCAGACGTTTTTGAGAAAACGTCGATGAAAGGTTTAATTTTGTCAAATATCAAAGAAACGATACTAATTTTTGCAAACTTTGACGATTTTTCAAAATTAAACGACTTGTCGTAGAGCCGTAATATTTTAGTATGATCTAGAAGACTAGTATCTACCGTCAAAAAAAATCATAAAAATCGTCGAAAAAAATTTTTTTTTAACTTTATTACAAGAAAACGGCCCGGCCGATCTTTACCAAAAACTAATCAGCACGATTCCCAATCAATATCTATCGAACGGTTTTTGAATTTTCAAAATCGATTCAGAATTGCGGGCTAAAACGTGGACGAAAAATTTTTCACTTTTCTGCGATTTACAAAGAAACGGCTTGGCTGATCGTTGCGCAAAATTGATAAACGCTAGTCCTCATCGTGATACATCGAATGGCTTTTAAATTTTTGAAATCGGTCTGCCGTTTTAGAGAAAACGTCAATTTACGGCACAAAATCTGTTCACACACACACACACGCATACTTTTTCCAAATGTTGGTTTCATTCGATTCAGAATGGCTTGAAACGTCGAGAAAACATAAAATTAGCGAATCGGATTTTTTTATGAAAACATAAACTTCTTCGGGAAGTTAACAAGACTCCTTACATGTCACTACAATGTCCACTATCCGATGTCCCTCCATCAGACGACACATGATCAGAACTGGAGGAGTTTACAACTTGTTCCTCGTCGTCCTGGATTTGTATCTTATTATCATCCTGGAAGATATCCGAGATCTGAGGTAGACCTAAGGAATCCGGAGCATCTATTGTTGGTAAATTCAGAATATCCAGAGCCGGATCTACTCCGTCCAGCGAAAAGATTCCGTCCAGGAGATCGTCGGCGCCTGCCCAACAGATGTCATCCTCCTGGGAAAAAAGATTAAATTGGTAAAGGTAAAATTGGTAAACTTTGTTCCTAAATTTTTTTTTATCGAGGATGTTTAAAATACATTTTGTTTAAATATAAACATAGCAACGGAAATGTCGCTTGCGTTATTGAAATATAGAATATTTAATTCTAAGTTGTTTGTTTATTTTTAAAACAAAAGTTAATTAAGAACGACGTTGAAATATATAAACAGCATTAATACCTGTAATTGTATGATTACCGGGTGCTTACGCAATAAGAGACTCATGCAATAAATTAATTACTTATATGACGAAACTGGAATTTAACAGTTTGTAAATAATTTTGCCTTTATCGATTAGAAATATTTAAAAATAAAGACTATATTGGCATTATTCCCTAGGAATATAAGACATGGGTTCTGAAAAATGCCAACAAAAACTATCTGGAAAGGTTAATAGTACCTAGATTTGAGTGGGTAGAGTTTGATTGGAGTTCACAGAGTTAATTTGGAATCAACAGAGTTATTTTAGAGTCCACAGAGATTTTTTGAAGTCTACAGTAATTTGGTGTCTACAGAAATTTTTTGGAGTCCACAGAGATTTTTCTGGTGTCCATATATTTTTTTTAGGGTTCGCAAAGATTTTTTGGAGTCCACAGAGTCTTTTCCGGTGTCCACATATTTTTTTTAGAGCCTACAAAGATTTTTTGGAGTCCACGGTGATTTTTTGCTGTTCACAGGGATTTTTTTGAGGTCACAGAGTCTTTTCTGGTGTCCACAGATTTTTTTAGCGTCCACAAAGATTTTTTGAAGCCCACAGAAAATTTTTAGTGTCACTTTTTTTTCATTTTTTTGAGTCCACAAGTTATTTTAGTCTTCAGATTCATTTTAATATTCACTGAGTTTTTTTTAGAGTTTGCATTTTAGAGTACACAGAATTAGATTCGAGCTCACGGAGTCAAAGTAGAGTCCACAGAGTCAAATTAGAGTCCACAGAGTCAAATTAGAGTCCACAGAGTCAAATTAGAGTCCACAGAGTCAAATTAGAGTCCACAAAGTCAATTTAGAGTCCACAGAGTCAAATTAGAGTCAACAGAGTTAATTTGGAATCAACAGAGTTTTTTTTATAGTACAGAGTAATTTTTGAGCCCAGAGTCATTTTAGATTCCACACAGATTTTTTGGTGTCCACAGAGTAAGTTTGGTGTCCACAGAGTCATTTTGGAGTCCCCAGAGTAATTTTGGTGCCCACAAAGATTTTTTGGAGTCCACAGAGATTTTTTGGAGCCCAAAGAGTTTTTTCTGGTGTCCACAAAGATTTTTTGGAGTCCACGGAGATTTTCTGGAGTCCACAGAGATTTTTTGGAGTTCACAGAGATTTTTTTTGAGTTCACAGAGTTTTTTCTGGTGTCTACAGAGTCATTTTGGTGTCCACAGAGTCATTTTGGTGTCCACAGAGTCATTTTGATATTTACAAAGTTTTTTCAGAGTCTACATTTTAGAGTCCACAGAATTAGATTCGAGTCCATGGAGTCAAATTAGAGTCGGTAGAGTCAAATTAAAATCCGAAGAGTCAAATTAGAATCCTAAGAGTCGAATTATATGCACAGAGTCAAATTAGAATGCACATAATCAAATTAGATTGGAGTCCACGGAATTAGATTAGATTTAGCAGAGATAAATTAGACTCAGTAGAGTTAAAATAGATTCAATAGAGCACCGTAAACGAAGAATAACGCCCATAAATAAAAATTATTGCCCATAGACAGAGATTAGAACCAATGGACAAAATTTACTGTCAAAAACTAGGATTGCAGTTTCTAGGCAAAGATTACGATCACTAGATAAAGATTAGAGTCACTGGAGGAAAACAGTCACTACACAAAAATTAGAGTCACCAGACAAAGATTGTAGTTAGTGGACTAAGACTATTTTTATTAGAATCAATAAACTAAATTTAGGGCAAAGATTGGAGCTCAAAAACAAAGATACAGCCCATATACAAAAATTAGAGTCACTAGATAAAGATTGGAGACCATGGATAAAAATTTAGAGTCAATAGCCAAAGATTCAAGATAAAAGACCATACATAAAAATTAGAGTCAATAGACAAAAATCAGAGCCCATAAATAAAAATTATAGATCATAAATTAAAAGTAGAGTAAATAGTCAAAGATTAAAATTAGAGACCGTAGATAAACAATAGAGTAAATAGACAAAAATTAAAGCCCATATATAAAAAAACAGATTATAGATACAAAATAGAGTCACTAGACAGAAAGTAGAGCTGATAATAAAAAACTGAAGACTATAGATAAAATTTGGAGTGAAACGACAAAAAATATAGCCCACAGATAAAAATTGAAAAATTGAGACATAATTAGAGATAAAAATTAGAAATCATCGATGAAAATAAGAGTCAATAGACAAACATAAAAAATCAGATAAAAATTAGAGTCAATAGACAAAGATTGTAAGATTGTAATTGCAGTAAATAATTTGTGATAATCGGATTAAAGAAAATCAATTTTATTTTCTTAATTTTAATCAGTTATGGTATTTTCCACTAGCAATGAGTAAAGGCTAAGATATAAGCTGAAACTTATGGATATCTAGAATTCATATAATGTTCATTAATAAATCAAACATTAGAGCTTAACCCATATATAAATAAAAATGAATCAAGCTACAAAAATCAACTTATTGATAAACTAAATATAATTTTAAAAAATGTATTAATATCATAGCACATTAAACCACATGTAATCTGAAATCTAGATTCTAGATATTGGTTCAAAAAAATTATACTCAGAAAAATTTGACCAACAGAAATTCGTTCTAAAAAAACGTTTAGTTAAGTAAGTAATATTTTTATGTAAATTGTAATCTTATTAAATAATATGGAACAAATACGTGGTATGGTATTTGTATAAGTATATAAATTATCATCAGTTGATCTGCGATCTAGTTCTCGTTATAAAGAATTTAATCTCACAATAAGAAGACAGACACTGTCATGTGCGTTCATGACTAAAGACGCGTGACCTAATAGTTCAATATACTCATTGATAATCATTATTATAATATGTATATACAATTACTATATTTCGTACAGAGCAAGCACATACATCATGCACATTCCCTTCGAAATTCCTAACGGGGATCATCGTCGTCGTCTCGAAAAGCATTTCTAACGGCACAACACGAATACTTTATATCATATGAACATATTGTAAGTAAGTGGCGGCCGTTACTTCCATTTACGGAACACTTTGAATCAATTCGATAAATCAGTGTTGGGTGATTCATTTTGATCAGTGTCCATATTTACCCAACATTAAGAGAGCGTGTTGTTTGACAAAAAATCACAGAGGTGAGATATCACGTGGATTTATTTTATACCTATTTTTCTTAAATTCTCGATTTTTTCTCGTAATTAAAAATACACTTTATGATTTTGAGTATCACCACGAATCACCAATGGGAAAGGTAGGGCCCGAAACCCCTTAAAAAATCGATCACGTGATTAATGGACGTCCTCTTACCAGCCGGTTACTATAGAAGCGCTCTACGAATTAGATTAGATAAATCCGAGTTTCTTATAACGCGGTTTCGATATAACACAGTGAGCACTGACTGCTCTGTACAAGTGTCGATTATACCTCATTCATATGAATTCAAATGTTTACATGATAACGAACAAAAAATTACTTCACACAAGTAGTTCATCCTGTTTTTACTTCTTTATAACTTCAAGTTATAAGAAATTAGGCAATTTTTGCCATGTAACAATTTTTTTCTAACTATTTTTCTATTATCATACTCCCGAAATCGTCGATGAAATATTGTATCCACACATACACAAATACGTTTTTGTCTAAGATATGCCAGACTTTATTAACGAATTATATTTTTTTCAAAAATCAAATATTTTCGACAGTATGAATCTGCGACACGGATCGGTACTGAAAACTTGAGAAAATTTCAGTTTCAAATAATATAAAAAAATTCGAAGTTTTGAAAAATATTTTTCATTGAATTTCATAATTGGCAAAAACACATTTTTTAATATCCAAATTTTTCAAATTTTTCAAAAAAAATTTGAATTCTTAGGAAAAATCTAATTTTTCTGATTTAACAATACGGCACGGAAAGTTCCAGCAATGTGCTTTAAGGCACGATACCATACACCATTATTTTTTTTTTTTTTAACTTCCCGTAGGGTAAATTATAGTAATCGCAAAAAAAATCTAATTTTTTATATATTTTTACGTTTCAAACGTTTCTGAACATATTGGCATACCTCAGAAAAAGTTGATGTATATGTGTGTGTGAGGATACAAAATTTCGTCGACGATTTCGGGAACGCCGTTTAACCGATTTGAATGATTCAAAAAACATTCGATCCCTACTGATAAAGAGACGTGTTGATTAGTTTTTGGCAAAGGCAGGTCTAGCCGTTTCGGAGATACGGAGCAAAAAGTGCCCAAAATGGTAACTCAGTTTTTAGGAGAACGGAGAGTCCGATTTTAATAATTCAAAAAACTTTTCACTTGTATTGACAAAATGAAGATCTGATTAAATTTTTGGGAAGGTAGATCTAGCGGTTTTGGAGATAAAGTATTTGGCAAGTCAAAAAAAATCTCTCTGGAATAAATGACTCCCAGAAAGATGAAAAAAAAATATCCAATGTAATTTGCTTTCCAAACTTTTAACGCGTTTTTCTCGAAATGGTGTTTTCAAAATCGATGATCAACATAACTTAAATCCGATTAGGCTCAAATTTCAAGAGGATCTTCTTAAATATATTTTTCAGCAATTAATTGAAGAATTTTGCTATCCGATAAATATTTTGGAAACAATTTAAGGTCAAAATTTCGGCGAAAAAACTATTTTTTTTTAAAAAAAATACTATTTTGTCAAAAATTATTATTTTGCTTATTGCTTCGATTAATTACTAGATTCATCATTTTTTTGTGAAATCTTTTGAATTTTTTTTATTTTCGGATGATTTTTTTTA